AACACAAAAGACTGAGAGGTGAGGTGGATGGCAGAGTCCTGGTTCCTAGCTTCTGTCTTCCCACGAAATTATCTTTTTAAGTGCTTCAGAAGGGAAAGGTGCTGACCACAAAGCCAGTAGATCTTTAAAGTATGAAAATCAGCCTCTGGTGGGAGCCTTGAAAAGGCAGTGAAAGGAAACATAAGACTGGGAGGGTTCACTTGAGACAAGATTTAATAAAGATTGGTTTTTACCGGATACATGTATGAGCAGTGTCCAGAATGCTTGCAGCTGCCTTGAGCCACTATCGTCATGATCGGGTTTATTGGGTATTAGGTTGGGGTTATAGCTGGGAGGGTGTCTGATGGTTTGCTTGCATGTATGTCTGTCAGGTGTGGTAATATATGCCTTTACCACACGATGCTATGCCCTCCAGATAATGTTGTCAGATCCCTTGGGACTAGAGTTACAGATGACTGAGCTGCCATGTGGATTCTGGGGCTGGAACCCAGGTATGCAAGAGGCTGCTGACCACTGAGCCATCTCTTCAGCCTATTCTGTGACAGAGTCTTATGTAGCTCACACTAGCTTCAAACCAAAGGGTGGAGAATGGATGGTGGTTGCACGTGCCTTTGATCCCAGCTCTCTAGAGGCAGAGGCAAGTGGAAAGCCACAGTGATGGAGTATTTTGCCAATCACACATTGGAGTTTTCTTTGTGATAGTTGTGGTTAAGTTACTAGGACTCAAACCAGGCATGGTGGCAACCACTTTTAATCCTAGCACTCAGAGGCAGAGGCAGGCAGAAGCCAGCCTGGTGAGCAGGTTCTAGGTCAGCCAGGGCTACACAGAGAAACCCTGTCTGGGGTGGTGGTAGTGGGTAATTGTTTCCTAGGACTTTTAAGACTATTTTCTGTGTTAATCTGAATTATATATTCATCCAAAAATTTAATTTTTGCTATAACCACAAATCTTCAAATTTTGTGGTGCTAGACATATATGTGTTCCTGATACAGGCTGAGGGTCAGGGAGATGTCTCGGTAAACTGCCTGCTGTGCAAACATGAGGACCTGAGTTCTGATCGCTGGCGCCATGTAAAGTCAAGTGTGGTAGTTTATGCCATAGTCCAGCACTGAGAGGTGGGAACAGCAAGATCAGGGGCACATTAACCAGCCAGGCTAGTTAGTTGGTGAGCTCGGTTTAAGTGACATAGAGCAAGACACCAGGTGTCACCCTTTGAACCCCACAAACATACTCGGGCATACGCATGCACACTCACAAAAATACAGCTTTGGTGTCCCAGACTCTAAATGCTGTGCAACAGAGTTCAGATGGTTTTTATTTGGAAGTATTTGCATACTAAGAGTATGACTTAGGTCATGAAATTTATTTGTTTTATGTATTTTATGTGCATTGATGTTTTGCCTGAATATATATATGTCCATGTGAGGGTGTTGGATCCCCAGAACAGGAGTTATAGACAGTTAGAACTGCCATGTGGGTGCTGGGAATGGGACTCTGGAAGAGCAGCCAGTGTTCTTAACCCCTGAGTCATCTCTCCAGCCCCTTTATGTGATATTTTTAAAACTTCTGTATATGAAACAAAAGTCTTATAGTGTGGAATTTTCTACCTGTGGCTTTATATCTAAGATGAAAATTTGGGGATTTTGAAACGTTTTAGAATTTACCATATTCCAGGCATGTAATTTTATCATATACTTTCAGTTTTTATTTGTGTGTATGTCTGTGTGTGGAGGCCATGTATGTATGCACATGCATATGGAGGCCATAAGACAGCCTTGGATGTTGATCAAGAGCATTCCACCTCATTTTGTTTTGGCTTTTCTGTGTGTAAGTCTGCATGTCTATAAGATAGGGATCTGCTTGCCCCTGCCACCCCAGGACTGGGATCACAGGCCCACTTTCTTTCCCCTCCCTTCCTCCCTCCCTGCTTCTTTTTCTTTCTTTTGTGTTTTTGTTTTTTGAGACAGGGCTTTTCTGTGTGTATTGATGGCTATCCTGGAACTCGCTCTGTAGACCAGGCTGGCCCTGAACTCAGAGATCCCCCTGCCTCTGCCTCCTGAGTGCTGAGATCTGTGCCATCACCGTCCAGCAAGTGGCCCCTTTCTTAGTGTGGGATCTAGAAATCAGACTCAAATCCTCATGCTTGAAAGACTAGCACTTTACTGAGTCTTTAGAAAATTTTTCATTGAGGTAATCTACATATCTTACCTCATCCTTGTAAAGTATAATACAGTTTTTGACAGTGATTTTGACTGTAATCACAGATTGTGTAACAACTATTTTTTCTTAATGTGTTTTAGAGCACTTATAGATTTTCTTACATTTTAAAAAACTAACTTCCTGCTTTCACTTTTTTTTTTTTTTTCTCTTTTTGGTTTTTTGAGACAGTTTCTCTGTATTGCTTTGGAGGCTATCCTGGAACTCACTCTGTAGACCAGGCTGGCCTCGAACTCACAGAGATATGCCTGCCTCTGCCTCCTGAGTGTTGGGATTAAAGGCAGGCGTCACCAATGCCCAGCCTGCTTTTACTATTTTTTTTTTTTTTACATGAAGTTATTTATTACATTTGTTTTTTGTGGGGACACATGTACATGCTTCTGCCATAGCCTGCATGTGGGTGTCAGAACAGCTTGCAGGGTTAGTTTTTTCCTTCTTCCCTGTGGTTCTGGGATCAAACTCAGGTTGTTAGTTTGGGCAGGTGCCTTTACCTGCTGAGTCCTGTAACTTATCAGTTGGCAACAGGACCCTGGCTTGGGGCCTGTTAAGTCAGCTCTCTACCTACCACAGACAGCACCTCCACATACCCACCTGTTAGGTTTTGTTCTCTCTCTGAGACAGCCTTACTGTGTCCCAGGCTTGCCTGGAGCCTGGCTCTTCCTGCTCCAAAGTGCGGGCCTGGGTTACTGGTGTGGAACAGCACAGTGGCCGTATGAGGCCACAGCTGCCTGATTATATTCAGCTCTCACCAAGTATCCAAGAGTGCTTGAATATGATGCTCTGCAGTCCTGGGTTCAGTTAGGTCAGATCTGTGGGCCATGTTATTCAGATCTGTATCCAGATAGCAGGCTATTGTTCACTGGTGTCCATGCATGTAAGCAGCTTTATTAGAACACAGCTGTATTTACTCACTTGTGAGTTGCTCATGGCTGCTTCTCACTGTAGTATTGTGGCCTACAAAACCTAGGATGTTTACTGTCTTACTCCTTACCAGAAGAAGTTACCATTCCTGTTGGAATTCTTTCTTCAGGCTCCCTGCTGAAAACTGGGCTACTGGAAAAGGACCCTATAAATATTTTACAGGGTCTTTCCCACCATCAACCCTTTCCAGTCTCCCCCAGGGGTGGCACGGAGAGGCTGACAATGTCTGCTTGATGCTGACACCTCCTAGCTGTTGTTTTCTGTTCAATTTTATTTACAACCTCTCAGCTGTTGTTTTTAAAATGTCTGCTCTCTGGTAGAGGAAAGTGAAAAAAAAAAATCACTCCTAACAGTCTAGAGGACTACAATGTGCGTGCGTGATTTTGGGCTGCTTGTGGGTTAAAGTGACATTATAGTCAATTTGATTTAGGGGTGGGTGTAAGAATTAGAAGTTGTAAGGGTTGGAGAGATGGCCTAGCAGTTAAGAGCACTGGCTGCTCTTCCAGAGGACCTGAGTTCAACTCCCACCAACCACAGGGAACTCAAAATTGTCTGTAATTCCAGTTCCAGGGGATAGAACCCTCACACAAAGTATACACAGGCAAAACACTGGTGTACGTAAAATAAATAAGTAGATTTTTTTAAAAATTTATTATTTTACATGTCGATCCCAGTTCCCCCTCACTCCCTCCCTCCTTCTCTCCCTCACTTTTACCCTCTCTGCCCTCTCACATGCACTCTAACCACCCTCCCATCCCCCCACCCCAATTCCATATGTAGGGCAATGCCATCCAGGTGGGGTCATGTAGATCTGATAGGTCATTTGAAGTAGGGACTAGGGCTTCTCTCCTGTATAAGTAGATCTTTTTAAAATAAAGAATTAGAAGGTGAAAAAACGAAAGGTAAAAAGGAAAACTTAAGCAGAACAAGTCAAAAGTTTTCTTGTTTTATTAACTTAATTAAATTATGTGTACTTATTTGTGTTTGTGTGTGGCTAAACCGTATGTAAGTGCAGAAGCCTTTGGGTGTGCCAGAAGAGGGAATTGGATCCCCTGGCGCTAGAGTTAACAAGTGTGGTCGGGGTTGACTTTCTGTTTGTTCCTCTTATTAGTTGATGAATAAACACTGGACAATGGCCAATGAAGCAGGAAGAGAGGTGGTACTAGGAGACAAGGAGGATTCTGAGAAAGGTGTCAGGAGAACCCACCAGAAAGCAAATTGTCATGTGAGCCCAGGAAGAGAGGATGTATCAGACATTGTTTGGTAAACTAAGGACCCGTGGAAATACAGAAGTAGGTTAATAATTAAGACAGAGCTACCCAAAAAGAAGCCCTAGTCATTGGCCAACAGTTTCATACCTAATTTAGCGTCTATGTGTTCATTGTGGGCTCAAGGGCTGAGGGACCATCCTGTGCAGGAGTGGCATGCACTCTTAACAGTGTGTCTCTCCAGCTTCTTTTTTTGCTGTTGTTTTTGAAAAATTCCCTTGTGTATATGATGTACCTTGGCCATACTCCCATTCTTTCCTTACAACTTCCCCCTAGCTCCTCCCAACACATCTCCCTCCCAGCTTTAAGCCTTTGAGTTTAAATAGTGCCACCCATGGTGCATGGACATTCTACCTGTGGCTACCTCCCCACTCCATGCTGGAATTTTTAACTGTTTTGATATTGTGCAGGTAACAATAGGTGCTGTGAGCTCATGTGTACAGCAGGCATGTCTGGGCCCTCACCTTCCAGCTCTTACATTTCTCTCAGTACCTTCTTGGAGGTTCCCTGAGCCTTACTTAGGGTGTTTGATATGAGGTCTTCTCTACAGATGAGCACTTGCTATTCCTTGTTTTTAGCACTTTGAGCTGTTCTGAGCATCTCTGCTAGCCACCACTCAATTTAGTGTGGCTTTATGGTTGTGATTTTTGGATGCTTAATAGTTGCAGGTATCATTTGTCAGTTTTTTGTTGTTTTGCTTTGTTTGGCTTGATTTGGTTTGGTTTCTCAAGACAGGGTTTCTCTGTGTAGCTTTGAAGCCTGTCTTGGAACTTGCTCTGTAGACCAGCTGGCCTTGAATTCACAGAGATCCACCTGCCTCTGCCTCCCGAGTGCTGGGATCAAGGGTGTGCACCACCAATGCCCTGCATTTTTTTTTTTTCTTTTTTTTAAAACATTAGCAGAGCTGGGTAGTGGTGCCACACGCCTTTAATTCCAGCACGCACAACACAGAGACAGGTGGATCTCTGAGTTCAAGGACAGCCTGGTCTATAGAGCGAGTTCCAGGACAGCCGGGCTACACAGAGAAAACCCTGTCTACAAGCAAGTAAACGAAAACAAATAAAAACCACAGGCAGACTTTCAGCTGTTGAACTCCCTTTGCCACCTTTTGATTTGTGGTGTGAGTGACACCAAATTATGTTCTGCCACTTAATATGTAAAAATCATAGTTCATAGCCAGACATGGTGGCACATGATTTTAATGTCAGCATTCAGGAGTCAGACCTCTGAGTTTGAGGACAGCCAGGGCTAGGAAGAGAGACCTTGTCTCAAAACAGAAAAATGATTCCTGTAGCAACTGCACCAATTCATAGTGGTTGTAAAAGCCATCTAGATCCACTGATGTTACAGATGTCTTTTACCAACCACTACAAACCACACAAGTTCTTGGGAGCCAGTTTCCTGATTTCTAAACCATTCACATTCCTTGTCTTCCAGGCTTCCTCTCTAAGAATGAATGGTCACCAGGGCAGTGATGGTGACAGGTTATTACAGCCAGAGCTCAGCTGCCTAGGAGATGAGACCTTAGCTGCCACTCGAGAGAAAGAAAGCAGCAGTTTGGTGTCCTCTGGACTTCATGTTCTCACTTATCCCCTAGCTACCAGGAATGAAGGTACAGCAATGGGGGCTAGCACACACCCAAACATCTTCCACCCAGATGGAATGGAGAGTCTCAACCCGAGCAGATAGTCACACATTCACAGTGGATCTAGCTGACCATTCAGCCTGGCCCATCCACCTGGCACAAGTGTGTAAGACATGCTTGGAATCAGGAGACAAACTGACTTGCTGTGGTCCCTATCAACTATAATGTGATGAGACCTTCATTCAAGAGTTCTGCTTCTTAATGGAGTGACAGAATTTTTCCTAGTCACCCTTGGAGGGCTGATGGATCAGTGTGAAAGGTGGGACAGTTCCTGTGAGCTGTTGTGGGTAGGCTTTATAGGAAGTCTTGACTATGGTTGGCTGGCTTGTAGTCACTGTAGCCCAGGTTCTTCTTGATCTCAGAGAAGCCTCTGCCTCTGCCTCCTAAGGACTATGGTGGCAGGCAGGCAGGCATATGCTATCATACCTCACTCTCCGATAATCACAATTAACTTTGTTTTATTTTAACTGGAACTTTGTTTTGTTTTGGTGGGTTTTTGTTTGTTTGAATCTTTTTTTTTTTTTTTTTTTTAATTTGTTTTTTCTGTGTGGCCCTGACTGGATTCGAACTCACAGAGACCTGTCTGACTCTGACTCCTGAGTGCTGAGATTAAAGGCATGCACTACCATGCCTGGCTCAATCGTTAATTCTTAACTGGATGCACTTTTTCATATTTTTCAGCCTATAATTTTAAAAAGGTAACCATCATTTACTGAATAAAAAATACATAAAAATTTTTACATATATATTTTAAAATTTATTTTAATTTTTTGTATGTATGAGTGTTTTGCCCTGCATGCATGTCTGGGGTCCATGGAGGCCGGAAACAGGCATCAGGTCACCTAGAACTGGAAGTTTCATGTGGGACCTGGGCATTAAACCCAGGTCCTCTGAAGAGCAGGCAGTGCTCTTAATCATTGAGCCATCTCTCTAGCACATAGTATATTCTTTAGAGCAGAGGTTACAAAATGGTTCAGTTTGGCTACAGCTCATTTCTGCTAAGATTTTAGGGTTTTGTTTTTGTTGCGAGGTGGTCTCAGGTAGTTCAGGCTGGCCTGGCTTGTTAGGTAGCTGACCTTGAACTTCAGATTCTCCTGCCTCTTCTCCAGTGCTGGAGTGTTGCTGGGGTCAAACACGGGGCTTTGAGCATGCTAAGCAAATACTTTAATAAACTTTTATGCATGTCTTGGCATGTACAGGTGATCAGAGGGCAACTTTATGGAGTTGGTTGTCTCCTCCCACCTTTCTGTGGGTTCTGGGACTCAGTCTGAGGTTGTCAGGTGTGTGACAAGTGCTTTCGAGATAAAAAGCAAAGGTGCATACTGAAGAGGTGGATGCCCTCACTTGTCTAACAGTCCAGAGATGTATTGTCCTGGGGGCCCCACCAGAGGTGAGCTGTCCTGCTCATGGGAAAGCTGGTGTGGGTGGGTGCCACTGGATTCTCTAGCAGGCAGTGAGAATGGTTTGTTCTGTAAAGTTCGGGGAAGAGTAATGATTTTAGGTAAAGACTTCATTCTTTCTGACAAATTAAACAACAGCTTAGAAGACTGAAATGAGTTTTAGTCCACAGTAGTAGTAAGTTCCTAAAATACAGACAGCAGTGCTTAGGCTGTAGCTGAGTCTAGAGTTCAGTCTAGACTCCTGAGTCTGGAACACAGGAACCTGGCATGCATGAGGCCCTGACCCTGTGTGACCAAGTATGATGGCACATGCTCTAATCCCAGCTCCCTGAGGTACAGGAAGGAGGATTAGAAATCAGATGCTATCTTCAGCTACATAGAGTTTAAGGCTAGCCTAGACTACATGAGATCCTGTCTCAAAAAAATAAATACGGGGCTGGACAGATTGCTCAGCTAGTAATGCTTCCTGCTCTTCCAGACTTGTGTTCCCAGCACTCATGCTGGGTGGCTCCTTACCACCTGTAACTCCAGTTCTGGGGATCTGATGACTTCTGGCCTCCCTGGGCACTTGCACGCATTCACACTCACAATCCCAAAACACAAAAATCTCCAATAAGACAACGAGAGGATGTAAGTGTTACTTAAAAGTGGAAATGGAATGGAAGTATATGCCAGGCTTTTTTTTGGGGGGGGGGGTCAACCAACCAGCTTCTAAAGCAAGACACTGAGGCTTAATATTAGTTATGAATGCTCAGCCTTGTTTTGTCTTTGTTTTTAAAAAGATTTATCATCTCTATAGTGTCCTGTCTGCATGTATGACTGCAGGCCAGAGGAGGGCACCAGATCTCATTACCGATGGTTGTGAGACATCATGTGGTTACTGGGAATTGAACTCAGGCCTTTGGAAGAAGAGCCAGTGCTCTAAACCTCTGAGCCATCTCTCCAGCCCCTTGTCTCTTATTTTAATCTGTTTCTCTTTTATCTGTGTCTTGTCTCAGGGTATTTTACCTTTCTTTCTTTCTGTATATCCTACTTTCACTGCTTCTGGCCCTAGGCATGTTCCCTCTCTTTCTCCCTTCTTCTCTCTCCTCTATGCCTGCCAGCCCCACCTATCCCTCTCCTGCCTAGCTGTTGGCTATAATTAAACAAAACAGCACAAACAAATGTAATACATCTTTGCCTGGTTAAAATAATATTCTGAAACAGAAGTAGGAAGTGATTGCTGGGCCACAATGCACGACCTGCTCTTAGGTCCAGCCTCACTGCGCTTTATTTACTCCAGAATTGCAATTGCTTTAAAGTGTAGGTGTTTCTGCCTCTAATCTCCATGAACCCCATATCACACACATGGAAAGAATTACCCAGCTAGTTTTGTGAGAGGATAGGTGGGTGGGTGGTTGATTTTGGTTTCTCAAGACAGGGTTTATTTGCAGTCCTGGCTGTCCTGGAAATTGCTCTGTAGACCAGGCTAGCCTCAGATACAGAGATCTGCCTGCCTTTGGCTTTAAAGTATCTACTTTTGTTTTTAATTTTCCCCTAAGCTAGTATTTTAGCTGTGAACATCTATGGCTTTAGGTTTTTTGTTTTTGCTTCTTGTTGTTTTAGGACAGGCATAGTTTCATTTTTCTCTCTAGACCTTTGCTCTTTAGTTACTTTTATTTGCCTGATCTTTCAGACTTTGCACTTGGCTATGCCCCTCAGCCAGCAAGCCTTCAGTACCCTCACATAATGCCACTCCCTGAAGACAGCAAAGGCTCCTGCTTCCAGAGTGGAAGCAAGCGGAACCATGAGCCCTTCATCGTTTCAGAGAGATTTGGAAACAGCGGCATAGGCTTTGGAGGTAGCTCTCACTCCCAAGCCCCAGAGAAAGTGACACTTCTTGTAGATGGCACACGTTTTGTGGTAAACCCTCAGATTTTCACTGCTCATCCGGATACCATGTTGGGAAGGTAATGACAGTTTCCTTCTGTTGTACTAGTAAAGGTGTTCAGCCTTTTGTCAGTACACAGCTGACTTTCCTCCTTTCCAGCTTCTGTGGGGAAGGCTAGGAGAGTTGGTGGGAGCCTGATGCCTTGATGCTGGGAGGGTTGCATTTGTAGCCAGATGAGGAGTGTCCACTAAGGAACCATGTCCCGCCCCTATTTAAAGACACTGCATTGCTCTTTGAGTTGTACAGATCAGAGATGCCGAGTTGAATCTGAAGTCTTGTTTTCCTTCTGTGAGAAACAGTATTAGACATGATCCACAAGAACAGTGACATCATTTTAGGAAAAAAGAACATTTGCCTCCTACCCGTTTCTAGTTGGGGGTCTTGTTTCTTGGGGGTGGGTAGCAGTATTGGAGATTGAACTAGGAACCTAGGCTGTCAGGCATAGGAGACAAACATTTTACTGAGCTGAAGCCCTGCCTTATTGCCAATTTACTATTTAACACATGTAGGTGTTTTGTCTGCAAGTATGTTGGTGCAGTACATATATTCAGTGCCGGTAGGGGCCAGGAGAGGGTATCAGATCCCTGGGACTAGAGTAACAGATGGCTGTGAACTACAGTGTGGGTGCTGGGAATCGAACCTGGATCCTGAGTTCATGGTGAGAGCAGGCCCTCATGGAAATGTCAGGGTGCAGAAGAGCCTCATCTGTCTGAAATCCATGGCTAGAGCAACCTGTGGGAGTAGGTAGTTCAGAAAAGACGAGCCAGGAGGGAATACACAAAGAGCTGCCCCTACCCCACACAGACTGACCTCACAGGTGAATGACAGCCAGGAGGGAATGCACAAAGAGGTGCCCCTTCCTGTCCTGCACATTTTCCTGAGGCATGCATTCATCTGAGAGGCATCAGGTCCCAACGCTATGCTTTTAAAGTATGCCACCCGAGAGTAGGTTAAAGTGCAGGAGATGGCAAGAGTCTCCTGCAGAAGGTGATGCTGTTGCTGCTCTCTTTCAGGATGTTTGGACCAGGAAGAGAATACAACTTCACAAGGCCCAATGATAAGGGGGAGTATGAGATTGCGGAAGGGATCAGTGCCACTGTGTTCCGCACAGTGCTGGTATGCAGTTCTGTTTCCTTTTCCTTCCTCTACCGTGGCATGCATGCTTGCATATGGCACCCTCAAGTGCACCACAGTTGAGTGACTGACTCTCGGGTATTTAATTGCCTTTCCTTCTTTATTGTTCCTGCCTGTAACTTCTAATTCCTTGCTTATGTGAGCTCAGTTCGTTGTCAGGCTGTTTAAACTTGGGTAGATGGGACCACTTTGTCTTCTAATGCACCAACCGGTTGACTCCCAGTTCCTACCACCATAGGTTCAGGAGTTATTCCTATGCATTTCTTTGCCTACATTTCTTCTTCCCAATCTGTTCACAGGATTATTACAAAACTGGTATCATCAACTGTCCTGATGGCATCTCTATCCCAGATCTGAGAGACACTTGTGACTATCTCTGTATTAACTTTGACTTCAACACTATCCGATGTCAAGATCTGAGTGAGTATGGAGCTGCTGCCAGCTATGCATGGCCAGAGCACTTTCCATGTGCTCACAAGTGAAGGAGTGCGGGTGTAGGTGGAGAGCCAGCACAGAGGTGGACATCTGCTTCTCTTGTATTAAGGGCTTGTGGGGAAGTGGAGTAAATGGAGAAATCAGTTGGGGAGTGTGGCTCACAACCATCACTCTAGCACTCAAAAGGCTGAGGCAAGAGGATCACCCTAAGTTCAGGGTCAGCATGGGCTACAGAGTGATAGATACCCTATCTCCAAAGAAAAGGCTGGGGATGTCACTTAGTGATAGAGTACTCACCTAGCACTGTGAGACCCTGGGTTCCATTCTCAGAACCAAATAAAATAGGCATGGTAAGACATGCCTGTGACATCAGTGTTTAAGAAGAGGAGGCCAGGAATAAAAGCTATGAATCTTAATTTGGCCAACTAGTCACTGAGCTGCTGCTTCCCTCTTGGGAAGGACCATGGCATCAACCATGACAAGCAGAAGTACTGAGTGTCAGTGAGGAAGGGTCATGGTAAAGCCAAACAGCCTAGGTATAAAGCTAGTTTCATATTGAGGCAGGAGCTATGTCTCAGAATGCTTCTTGTCTGTATGTCCTCTGTGATGGCTACAGTCTTGTCTCCACTCAGCAGTGTCTCCACTCAGCAGTGTGTATGTGCATAGGAAGTGGGCTCACCTGCCTTCTTTCTCCCAGGTGCTCTACTCCATGAGCTGTCCAACGATGGTGCCCACAAGCAGTTTGATCACTACCTCGAGGAACTGATTCTTCCCATCATGGTGGGCTGTGCCAAGAAAGGGGAGCGAGAGTGTCACATTGTCGTGCTGACAGACGAGGACTCTGTGGACTGGGATGAAGACCACCCCCCACCCATGGGGGAAGAGTATTCCCAAAGTAGGAATCCTTCAGGGTGCATGTTTTCAGCTGGAGGAACACTGCCCAGATAACATCCAGACCCTAGAGCTGTGCAGATACCACTGACAGCAAGTGATGGCAGATGCCTGGAAGGCAGCCAGCAGCAATACAGGCCTAACCTCTGCTGCAATTGCTCTCCTCCATTGGATGGCATTGTCAGATACTCAAGTTGGGGGTTAAATTCTCATTTCATTTAAATCTTGTTGACTTGGTTTTAATTCAAAACTTAAAAAGTGGGCTGGGAAGTTGACTCAGTGAGAAAAGCACTTGGCATGTAATTGTGAGGCCCTGAGTTCAGATGCCTTGCACCCACTCTGCAAAGCTATACGTGGTAGCACATGTCTGTCATCCCAGAGCTCCTCGAGTGAGATGGGAGGAGAGACAGAATCCCTGGAACTGCATGGGCCAGCTAGTCCAGCAGTGCACAGGAGTGTGAATAGCAAAGCAAGTTGGCAGGCAAAGACTGAAGGACCAGGTTATCCATCCCATTCTCCACACGCATGCACAGGCTAATAGACTCACCACATGCATTGTAGAAGGATGTGCACTCAGCTGTTTCAACACTGTTCCATCTCAGTGTCCTTTTGCTTGTATTCTGTGTAAAAAGCTGTACAGTCCTCTTAGGCTGCTTAATACTCCATTAGTGAATGAGCTGAAATTCACTTGCCCTGTAGGACATTGAAGCTATATACATAAATGATGCATGATCACTTTTTGGAGATAGGGTTTCTCTGTGTAGTTTTGGAGCCTGTCCCAGAACTAGCTCTTGGGTTAGATCCTCCTGTCTCTGCCTCCCGAATGCTGGGATTAAAGGTGTGCGACACCACCATCCAGCACATTTTTTTGCATCTTCATCTCTATAAGCTATTCTGTCAAAAGCTTGGTATGTTTATAATTTTGACACATCAAATTATCCTTTCTAAAAGTTATAGCAATTTGTACTCAAACAGTATACTAAAAACCATGTTTTTAGCCAGGTAGTGGTGGTGCACGCCTTTAATCCCAGCATTTGGAAGGCAGAGGCAGGAGATCTCTGAGAGTTCGAGGCCAGCGTGGTCTACAGAGTGAATTCTAGAACAACCAGGGCTACACCGTGAGAGACCCTGCCTCTAAAAACATTTAAAAAAAAAAAAAAAAGTTTGTGAGGTAGCATGCCACTTCCCTGCCTCTCAAAATCAGGGCCCTATGCCAGCAATCCCAGGGTGCTGGATGCTGGTGGTGGGAGAGGGTGGTACAGGTTTCATGCTATCGTGGGTTATATAGCTCCCTGTTGATTGTCACCTCACTCACGCCCCCTCTGTGACTAACCCCAGCTTTTGTGGGCTTTTTTTTTGTCAGTACTGTACAGCTCCAAGCTCTACAGATTCTTCAAATACATCGAGAATCGGGATGTTGCTAAAACAGTGTTGAAGGAACGGGGCCTGAAGAACATTCGCATTGGAATTGAAGGTATTACAAAATCTCACAGCACTCAGGAGATGGGGGCAGGTGAACCTCTGAGTTACACAGAGAAACCCTGTCTTGGGAAACCAAAACAAAGTCTCCACTAGGGATAGGGTAGGTCTTTGGGCATAGCTTATGCTCTGACTTGCTTCACAGGGGCTTGAGAGCATGCATACTTATACACTACATGTATGGGTGATGGGTCCTGCTTTATTGCTGTTTGTCCTGAGGCCTTGCCTTTGCCTTTCCTCCAGTTGAAGCAGTGGGGTGTAGTTCTGAGTGTTCCTTGGGACATTAGGCCCCTGGGGTGAATTCAGAGTACCTGGGCACACCTGAGCAAGAACATGTTTCTGGGATCTAGAGTTAATCCTTAGGAAAACAGCTTAAGAACTTAAGATTGGTGGCGTAGGCCTTTAATTCTAGCACTCTGGAGGCAGAGGCAGGTGGATTTCTGTGAATTCAAGTCCAGCCTGGTGGTCTACAGAGCTAGTTCCAGGACAGGCTTCAAAGCAACACAGAGAAACCCTGTCTCAAAAAACCAAGAAAAAACTTAAGATTTGCCAGCTGTAGTGGTATAATCCCAGCAATCAGGAGGCAGGAGGATTTCTGTGAGCTTTAGGTCAGCTTGGTGTGCATAGCAATTTCTAAGCCAGCCAAAGCTATACAATAAGACTCCATCTTTTCTTTAACTAAAGAAGGTAGAAGTTGAGGTGGTTTCCCCTTTGAGGGATGTCTGTTCAGCACCATGTCTTGGATCAGATGTGTTTGCATTGAGCACAGGCTGCCATGCCCTCACTGCCCACAGAGATAGCTGTTACAGCATCTGTCTGACCCAGAAATTTTAAGTTAGCAGAGACTTTGAAGACACTTCATTGGCCTCTACTTTTCACACTGCCTTTGCCTGGTTTCTGACATCTGGGGATGGGGACAGGAACTCTTCGCCTCCCTGGGCATCAGCCACTGTGGCTGGAAGCACTCCAGGTGCCCAGAACTACTGCTTCTCTCCCTTACTGCTTGGAATCTGTCCGTCTCCATGAGCCCTTTCTGGGTATCCGCAGCATTTGTGTTTTCTCTTTAGGTTAACATTGCACATTTCCTTATTTTTTCACTTAATCATGCCTTCTACCCAACATCATAAGATGACTGAGTATCGATGCCCTGCTGGGATTTTGTCCTGTAGTATTAATTCCAACAGCTAAAGCCTCTTGAAGTTAGTAAGTGGTTTGTTTCTCTTCCCTTTCCACTAAAGGGGGAAAACTCTTGTGACTTCCCACAGACCACTGCCTTCTAGGGCACAGGGGCCTTGGGGGCACTGATCACCTGCCACAGAACTTTTGCTCTCTTTGGATTTGGAAGTAGATGCCAGCACAGTCTGCCAGTATTGTGAGCTCTTGTGTTTTCCCCTTACAGGCTACCCTACCTGCAAAGAAAAGATTAAGAGGAGACCTGGTGGGAGGTCTGAAGTTATCTACAATTATGTACAGCGCCCCTTTATCCAGATGTCATGGGAAAAGGAAGAAGGAAAAAGTCGCCATGTGGATTTCCAGTGTGTTCGCAGCAAGTCCCTCACTAATTTGGTGGCTGCTGGAGAGGACATCTTGGAAGACCAGGAGATAATAATGCACCACCCACCTCAAGTGGATGAACTTGACCGGTTAAATGCTCCACTCTCTCAGATGGCTCCTAATGACTTTCAAGATTAGGGACAATCGGGCCTGCCCCTCCCTTGCCAGAGCTCTTCTCTTTGTGGGTACCCTCAACCTGTCCTGTGTTTCCTCACCCTAAGGAGATGCTTCCTCCCATCTATTTCTGTCCCCTCTCAGTTGTTATTATAATACTCTTTTCTGAGTCTGCCTCTGGCTGGGTAAAGAAACTCTGTGGTAATTAGGTGTCCAGCCTAGTCAGCTCTGGTAAACAAACATTTTGGGTGTGGTGCTGTTGGTTGGGTCTTGTACAACTACAGGAGAGTTGGTTGACTCCTGTCACCCCATGGGACACAGTAGTCACATTCTTTACACCCAGTGGGTGGGTTTTGCATCAGACAAATTGCTTAATAGCAAAAGGACCAAATGTCAAAGGAGACCTTGTGTGTGCTGGCACAGGTATGCCCTGCTGAGGTGTGCCAGGGTGGGTGAAAGGCACATCCAGGGTGACATCAGGATAGAAAGTTTGAAAGGCATCCCCAAGAGCTCAGACTCAGCTCTGCTTTGTATTAACACAGAACAGACACCTGAGACAAGATCTGCAGCAGGAAGAGTGTGACCCTGCAATGTTAGTGCAGCAGCCTTTGGCCTCAGGGATTCAAAGCCCAAACTGATGCTTCATTTGGAAGTAAAACTTGGAAATAGGTGGCAGAATGGCTCCAGATCAGGCCAGTGGGACCTACCCCCCAGGGACAGTGTGGTGTGGCAGGAGACTTGGTACCTTGAAGGTAAAAAGATTTGCTTGGTATCTTCCTGTGAGCTCCAGGGAGGAGGGTTGTGGTGAATGGACAGGAATCCTCACCTACCTGTGCAGACACTGCCCGAGAGTTCTCAACACCAATACATTCGTGTTTTTGTTTTTCTGTGTGTGGTTTTTTTTTTTTTTTTTCTTTTTTTAATAGCCCATTAGCTGCTGAAACATGGTCAGGTCCAGGCCTTGTCATTTGGTTTGATCTGTTCACTCTTCCATGTGTGGTAGATGGCAGTCCAGGTCCTCAGTACCTTCCTCTGACATTTCCATGACTGTTTGCATAGTCAAGAGCCAAACAGTGTCTGGGATTACCTTATTTCCTGGTAGAGTTGACGTTGAATTGGTCCTCCACCCTCGACCTTTTCCCATCGTAGGTGGTGCATGTAAGCTGTTTTCTTCAAGTTCCGTAAAGAACATGGTTGGTTTTTTGAATTCTGCTCCCATTGGGTACTGTTTAGAATACTACTTGATGGCAGTGACATCAGGTTTGGGAAGAAAAGGGCTCTTCTTAGGAAGAAGGGTGTTTTCTGTGTCACGGCAGCATCACTGTGGGTGATCTACCTTGCTCAGAAAAGAACTGAAGTGTAACTAAGCAACCCTGGTTTTTGTGGCGATTGTTGGTGTCTTGGTGAGGTGAAGGCCAACATCCAGAAGTTACTTCTGGGAGTTTACTGGCTCACTTCTGAGGTCAGGTTTGGCCCTGATTTTGTTGGTGCTATGTCTGCCCACTAGCGGCTGAGCAGCCCAGGCCCTGGTTCAGTGGTGCTTTCCCTGTGCTGACCCATCGGTGGCCACTGCAGTGTGATTGTGTCTGTGTGTGTAGTGTTGTGTCTGTGTGTGTAGTGTTGAGGTGCGAGCAGTCATTTCTTTGTCCTTTGGAGTTGGTTCACTGCCTTTTATGAACTAGGTCTTACCCCACGCTTTTACCTTGCAGTGGCTCCAGCCCATGGAGTTTGAGTAGGAGGCAGTAAAGGCTCATGGGTGGCATTGGATGGTGGGAACTGAAGGCAGGCCTGGGACACAGGCTGGCCGTGTGGAGAGGAGGCTTCTGTACTCTCAGCCCACCCTTACCTACATTTCAGTCTTGAGCCCCACTGAAGGCTTGCCTGATGTTCCCAGAGTGGGCACATTATTTAATGCTCCTTGCAGGGTCAATGACTGGGTTCTAGTCATCTTTGGAGTTGGTTCCTGGCTGTATGAGGAAGAGGACTTCTCTAATAAAGAATGGATTTGGAGCTTACGCATCTTTTGTAAGTGCCTGAATAAGTAAGTCGGGCTGTGTGTCCAGACAGTCTCATGAAAAATGACTTTACTCAGAGTAAAGCAGGATAGAAGATAACCTGAACCTGAGGCTTGACTGTTCAGCATGTCCTTGTATCCTGTGTAGTGGATGGAAACACCTGCCGGTAAGGAGGTGCAGAATAGGGACACAGTATTAGAATGTCAGAAATTAGATGGCTCTCCATGGGGAGATGGGGGTGGGTACAGTGCTGTATTACTGTACCCAGCACCTCAGGAGAGTGAACAGGCCTGAGAAATGCTGTGGGAACAGCACAGAGGGCGTGTCTTAGGGAGAATGAAAATGCTCAGAGCACAGCCTTCAGCTTACAGTGTGATTCCCTTTGCTTTAAGTCAGGAGTTTTAGCGCTGCACTCGCTATCACTTGCTGCCCTCTGTAGTTTGAGGTGGGTGCAGGGAGCACAGCAGGGCCGCCTCTTCCCAGGAGGCAGAGCCACTTTTGTGTCTGCATGGGATCACTTCTGGAAAATTACATTTTCTCCTAAAGGCAAAATGCTTATAGATTTTGCCTCTTAACTTTGTATTTACTTTTGAAGTTGCACTTGTTCACCTACTAGTGTTTACGGAATCCTGTATATGGGATGCTTTTTCTATAATAAAGTATTTTTATTTGTGTCCATTGTTATTTACTAGAAAAGAAAATCACAAACCTCTAACAGATTTAAAGGGGTGGCGCCTACTGGCCAGGATAAGTTCCTTTCCTTGGGACATGGGCTTACCTGCAGCCTGCCTGTGCTTTCCTCCCTGCTATCCAAGGCTGCCTTCTCGAGTTCACAATTAGTTGCCATTGGAGACTCCACACTCCAATCTAACTAACCCTGACAGTCAACCAAATGTAAAAAAAAAAAAAAAAAAAAAAACCAAGTGCTTAGGAGTACAGAGACCTCTGTGGACTAACTGTCAGGGCCTGCAGGGCCTCTGGCTATCATATTCTGACCCCATTCTGATCAAGTTTATAAGTCCTTGGCCCAGTTAGGAACAAGGTGGCCCACCCCGAGGCATCCAGGGGCTAACACCCTGAGGACAGACGGCCTGATGGGTGGGTTTTTCCCCCTGAAGTAGTGCTCGCCCTCAGCTGCTGCTCCTTAGGACAGGCCATTCCCTCCAAAAGCCTTTATTTAGTGTAACTGCCACCAAGAACAGGAGGTGATGGGGCAGATCTGAGTTCAGCGCCAGCCTGGGCTACAGTGAGTTCCAGGACAACCAGGGCTATACGGAGAAACCTGTCTCTAAAAACAAAAAGCTGGCTGGCCAATAGCTAAGGCAGTAGAAAAAGACAGGACTTCCAGGAGAGAGATAAGAACTCTGGGCAAGTATCAGGTAGGAGATTCACCAGCCAGATGTGGAGGAAGTCCGATGTATGGTAATGAGCCATGTAGCAGACTGTAGATTAATATCAATAGGTTAAGTTTTCTAAAAGCTAGTTGGGAATACGCCTAAGCTAAGCTTAAATAATAAGTATCCATGTCCTGCAGGCTCCTGAGCATGCACCATGAACCTCTGTAGGAGGGATGCTTAGATGCTTTGGGTGTACAGAGTTCTCTGAGAACCCAGTGAAAATGGACCGTGTAGCCTACTTTAAGCTGGCATTAGTTTTCATAGTTGGACATTTCAAGAGAAACCTGCTAAATAGGAACTGAGGAGCCAACGAACTCAACTCTAACTACCACAGGTCACACACAAAGACCATGGGAGGAACATGGGACAAGGGGACCCGGAAAATGTGCTTTCCAGGGAGATGATTATGAGAAGCACCCTTGGTAACCAAAGGCAGGGGTCACCTATTGTGTCACGCAGATGCATCTAGAACTGGTAACCTGAAGTTCTGGCTGCTCTTGCAGTGGCCCCACACTGTAACTCCAATCACGGAATCCGATTTTCTTCTAGGCTCCTTGAGTACTGTATGCACATGGTACACAAACACAAAACACTGACACACATGAAAATTATTTTTTAAAACAAGTTTTGATGGGGTGCCCAGCTTGGATTAACTAGCAGGCAGCTAGAGAAATTTGGGGATCCTGATCCAGAACTGATGGCCCAATTTCCATCTACCCCTCTGATGGGATCCTGAACAACACTGGCTACGATTTGGTAAGGCACCCTGTTCTCCCGGTCAGCGTAAACATTTCCTTGAACTTGTGGGAGTAACCATTGATCGTCTAGCACCCTTCTAGTGTTCTTGGAAGTGGGGGGTACCCCCAGCCACAGCCTTCAAGGCTACAGCTGATCCGTCACACTGACAACAACCACCTGTGCTATACTTCCCACAAGCAAAGTGGTGCATTTGACTTTCGACTTCATGTCTTTGGCAGTACAGATCACTGCCTTTTCTCGGACAATGGTGTCCTATCAATCAGGCTTAGCCCTTGGCCATCGCTCTTGGACTGAGGAGTTAAAAGAATGACCAATGCCATTATTTTGCTTTCTGCCTCTCCATGAGAAGTAGACCAACAAAGAATATAAATAAAACCATCCCCTCCACTGAGATGCCTATTAGAAAATCTAAAACCCACCAGGGGTGGGGGCGCACACTTTTAATCTCAGCACTCGGGAGGCAGAGGCAGGCAGATCTGAGTTCTAGACCAGGTTGGTCTACAAAAGAGCTAGTTCTAGGCCAGCCTTCAAAGCCACACAGAAACCCTGTCTTGAAAAAACAAAAAATAAATTCTAAAACTCCTTTATTTAATACTGTTTGTGAAGGCACCCAGACTCACCTCTGTACAAAGAAATGACCTAAATACCCTCTAGATAATAAGTCAAATTGGCTGATTAAACAGCTCTGGGTCCCAATATTTTATGGGACCTTTCCAACTACTGACAGGTAAACGGAAGGAGTTACCATTTGTCCAAGCCTCCTTCTACCTCTTTGCTAAACATTCTCTTTCCTCTTTCTCTTCTCCATTTAGCTAAGAAAGCTGAACCAGAGGAAACCCCCACTGGTTTGGATCCTGCTGATGAACCACCAAAATTTCATCTTCAACATCCCCATACCCCTGCTCCTGGTCCCGCTCCTGACCCTCCTCCCCCTCCAGCTTCTTTCTCACCGGCACTGCACTGCTCCAGCCTTCCAATTCTTGCACCTACTTTCACTCCCCCATTACCCACTCTCATGCCATTATGTGCCCCCAACCTACCAAAACCAAACTGAGCTACACAGTTCTCCCTTTTCGAGAGGTGGCCGGAATGGATGGTCTGGTTGAAGTGCATGTCCCCTTCTCACTCTGAGAACTTTCTCAAATAAAAAAGAAACTGGGTTCCTATACCTCTAACTCCACTGCTTTCATGAAAGAATTCCAGTATATCACCCAGTCTTATAGCCTCACCTTTTATGATATATGTGATTTTGACCAACAACCTACTACCTGAGGAACGAAGATGTGTTTGGGAGCAGGCCATGCAGACTAATACAGCTCACCCTGCCAGGGCAGAGACTGCCTGGGATCAGCAGCCCCACTGGGATTATAATACCCCAGGGGGCATTCCAGTTGGAGATCAGTTTATAACCTATCACATGGCTGGTCTCTGTAAGGCTGGCCTCAAGTCAGCAAACTGATAAACTTCTGGAGATCAAGACAAACAGGAAAATCCCTCTCAGTTCCTAGAAGGCCTTATAAAGGCCTAGACTCTGAAAACCCAGAGGGAAGACAACTCCTTATGACATTTTCCTCCCCAGAGCTCCCCTGACATTAGGGCTAAGCTTAGGCATCTGGAGAGAGAACTATTAACCCCACAGACAGAAGTCTTAAGGGTGGCTTTTAATGTATACCATGAGGGACATGAGAAAGCCCTTAAACACAAATACCAAATGCTGGCCAAGGCTATCTGACCAGCCCTTGGAGTCTGCCTGGGATCCCTTCTGAGGCTTGAGGACCACAGCGTCAATGTTGTAAATATGATCAGGATGGGCATTAGGCTCAAATTTACCCTTATCCCCGTGTGCTACTCAAACCGTGTTCACAATGCCAGAAAGAGGGACATTGGTCGGTGAACTGTCCCCATGTCAGTTGTGGCCGGAGGATTCAGACACAGACCACCCTCTAGTGGATTTCCTAGCCCTGGCCATGATGAGAGAAGGGGCCAATCCGATCACTGTCATTTGTCAGGGAGCCCCAGGTGGACATCAAGCTATCGGGTAGTCCATCTCCTTCCTCTGGGAAACCAGTGCTACATACTCAGTCCTGAGGGAGTTTTGGGGACCCACCTCTCCTCCTCTCCTCCCTATTGCCAGGGTAGGGGTCAGCATTACCTACCTCATCAGACCTCACCTGTATTTTCAGGGTAATTACCCTCACCCATGCATTTCTGGTTATACCCACCTGTCCTGTGCTCTTACTGGGAACGGATCTTTGAGCCAAGGTAGGAGCTTTTCTTTCTTTTGCTCTCCTCATTCGCCTACCCCAGACTTGTCAGTGGCTCCTCTCCTCCTTGCCATTCACCCTACTGGTTCCAATATGTTGTTTTCTCTGTCAGCCTCTTAGGTGAACCCCCAAATTTGGGGGACACCCAAAACCCTTCTGTGGCTAGACACCATTCCCCCATTGTCATTCAGTTACATGACCCCTCCAGGTACATCACTCAACTCCAGTACCCACTCCCACTCCAGAGCCTTGGAGGATTAAAACCTGTCATCTCTGACCTACTAAGAAAAAAAAACTACTTAGTCCCACATCCTCTCCCTTTAACACCCCTATACTAGCAGTTAAAGTCTAATGGGACCTACCACCTAGTTCAAGACCTCCCGCTCATTAATTCTGCAGTGGTCCCTCTCCATCCTCTGGTACCTAACCCTTACACACTTCTCTCCATTATCCCCTCAGGGACCTCTCGTTTCTCAGATTTGGATCTTAGGGATGCCTTTTTCTCTATCCCTCTTGACATTCAGTCTCAAAGTATCTTTGCTTTCACCTGGACTGACCCTGACACCCAAGCCTCCACACAGCTCACCTGGACCATCCTACCTCAGGGATTCTGGGACAGCCCAAATCTATTTGGTCAGGCTCCAACATCTGACCTGCTCTGTCTCTCCTCAAATCTAAACTCACACAGTATGTAGATGATATTTTACTCTGCAGCCTGTCCTTAGAAGTTAACCAAAAAAATAAATAAATAAAAATAAAATAAATTTAAAAAGAGAGAAGTTAACCAAACTGATACCTCCGCTCTTCTAAATTTCCTGTCTAACAGGAGTTACAGAGTACCACCTTCCAAGGTCCAACTGTCTACTCCTCAGGTCACCTACTTGGGAATAACCATCACCCCAACTCACAAAGATGTTACCTTAGACAGAAAAACCTAATCCAGTCTCTTGCAGATCCTTCTACAAAAGAGGAAATTTTGTCCTTTCTAGGAATGGCTGGCTTCTTATGCTCCTGGATCCCCTCTGACTCTCTCCTTGCTCACCCCCTATTTGAGGCAGCTCTTGGCTAGTCATATGAACCTCTCCTAAACCCTGTTACTAAGCCCTTTTAGAAACTCAGGTTCTTCTCCAGGCACCAGCCCTTCATCTCCCAAACCTAACTCGTCCTTTATCCCTCTATTTAACAGAAAAGGAGGGATATGCCCTTGGAGTTCTAGGCCATCACCTGGGACCTTCCATTGCACCTGTAGCATATCTGTCAAAGAAACTAGACTTAACTGCCCAAGGATGGGCACCCTGTTTTAGCAGCTGCTGAGCTCCTCATGAAATCAAAGAAACTAACCTTCGGGTCACCCACCACTGTCTTCTCCCACTACAACCTGTCTTATCTCTTAACTTATAAAGGCTTACAAAGTCTACCTCCTTCCCGAGTTCTTTCTCTCCACGTGGCATTATTAGAATATGCCACACTTACTTACCAACCTGCTCACCCCTCAGTATCTCAAATCTTCTACCTCAACCTAATACTACTCCCCATCCCATTCCTGCACTGAAACCCTAGAGGAACTATTGCCCCATGCTTCACATATACGGGAGGGCACACTACCTCAGGCCTCCTATACCTAGTACACAGATGGCAGCTCCTTTTTACATGAGGGGACCTGTAGAGCAGGCTATGCATAATGTCAGATACCAGGGTGGTGGAGGCCTGGGCACGCCCTGTCCACACTACTATCCAGCAGGCTGAACTAATAGCTCTCACCTGTGCCTTCCAATCAGCACAGGGACAATCCCTAAATGTTTATACAGACTCCAAATATGCTTGTCCTCCTGTCCCATGCTGCTATCCGGAAAGAGCATGGGCTACTTACTATAAAAGGAGGATCCATAACTAACTCAGGTCAAATTATGGCCATGCTAAAGGCCTCCCACCTCCCCAAAGCTATAGGGAGTATTCACTGCTGGTCTCATCAGACTTGACAGCTCCATCTCTAAGGGAAACAACCGGGCTGATGAAGCAGCCAAGGCTGCAGCCCTCTGAGACCCACATCCACCACAGGGAGTTCATACACTACAACTCACATCCTCACAGTTACCTCCTGACACTTGACAAATTCTGTCCTATTCACACCAGCTCTTTCATCCTAACAGTCAGGCTCTGTCTCATTTTGTCGAGGCTCACCTCTAGCCCACTCCTGAGGACTTGCATTTCTTAAGAACTGTCACTGCCTCTTGTAAAACCTGTCAGATGTCAGACCCTAACTTCAGGTATCAGTCTCTTTTCCTACCCACCAGGCCAGGAGCTCTCTCCCAGGGACTGACTGGCAACTTGACTTTACCCACATGCCCACAGTCAGAGTCAAACATCTCCTGGTATTAGTTGATACCTTCTCAGGATGGGCAGAAGTGTTTCCAACCATTAATTAAAAAGCCCAGTCTCGGACACCCTTCTCAGGGAAATTATTCTGGGGTTTGGAATTCCAGCCTATCTTCAGTCAGACAATGGTCCTGAGTTCACATCTCAGATCTCCCAAACCCTGTCTAAAGCTCTCAACATCTTTTGGCATTTTCATATCCCATATTTCCCCCAGTCCTCAGGGAAGGTAGAGCAAACTAACTGTTCTTTAAAAAAAAAAAAAATTTTTCTGTTAAAATGTCACAGAAACTTCACCTTGACTGGGTATAAAGCTCTTGTCTCTGGCTTTTTTTAGGCTTAGGGCTCTCCCCAAATGAATGACCCCTTTCCATCTCACTCTTTGAGCTCATGTACGAGTTGCCAGTTCTTTTTCTTTTTTCTTTCCTTTTTTTGGGGGGATGGGGAAATGTTTCGAGACAGGGTTTCTCTGTGGCTTTGGAGCCTGTCCTAGAACTAGCTCTTGTAGACCAGGCTGGTCTCAAACTCAAGAGATCCACCTGCCTCTGCTTCCCGAGTGCTGGAATCAAAGGTGTGTGCCACCAACGCCTGGTTCTAACACCCGGTCTCTCACCTAAACTCTCCCCTCTCCCTGGTCACCTGCTTACACCCTTACTTTATCATCTCCGTTCCCTCCTATGGAATTTACTGACCACTCCCTGCCTCAATCGTGTGCAACCCTGTGCATCCCCAATTAACATCAGTGACCAGGTCCTCTCTCCTCCAGACCAACGCCCCTCACCCCTTCCCCCCGAAATGACAGGGCCCCTTGGAGGTAATTCTTGTCACTCCAACAGCTGCTAAGCTTGAGGGCCTCCCCACTGGATTCACTTATCCCACCTCAACCCTTTACTTCTCCACCCGAAGCTCACCCCTCATATACAGCTACTGCAACAGGACCTAGTTCCCTTAAGCTTCCGAGGACACCAAGGTCAACTACCTTGTCCCCAATTTCAGAAGAATGAAGCTTCACCCCTACAACCACACTGTGCTGGACTGGGAACACCATATGCTTTCCTTCCTAACCTCTCCTCCCCTCAGGCTCATCTGAGTTCTCCTGCTTCTACTGAATACACCCTTCTCAATCTCCTCTCTATGTATCACCCAATAACTCATTCAAAACTCATTAATCCAATCAATTAGCTGTTACAGGAATGCTAGCCAGTAGCCACGGATCTGGAGACACAAAGACCATCAAGCTTGTCTAGGTGCCTTCAAATCAACCATCTGTGCCTCCTGAGTAAATGTAAAGGTCTAAGAGGTACCAGACAGTTTCATACAGCCTGGACTGCAATGAAACAACCAGCTACCTCAGGGTGTGGCAGCAACCCAGCTTTTTCTTCCTCCAAAAGATGGTCAACACCCCCTAAATCAGCTGGAAGCAGTCTTGATTATTCAGCGCCCCATATTCCTGCCCTGACACCCCTGTTTAATCACCCACCTTTTAATAATAAGAGATGGGATTGTTGAGGGCTTCTCCCTCTCCCTGGGTCCTGGGCAACCTGGCCCTGCTCCTGCTCCCAACTCCTCTCCTTTCGCCCCGTGGTTTCTCCTCAGCATCCGCCTGTCTCTCAGAACCAACCCTCTCCTGGGCCTTTTGCCTTCTCCTTAGGGAACCTTTCCTGGCTTGGGGGCCTCTCTAATCCTTGGGGTCTCTCCCCACCCAGGGAACACTCTTCTCCAGGCTACCTTCCCTCACTCCAGAGATCCATCTTTGACAGGTGATCACTCCTGACAGCTGTCAAAGGTTGCAAGGCTACATCGTGCATTCGTTAGGTGGCTGCATAAGGACTCTGCAAGCAGAAACCATGTGGAACTGGGGCCATGCAGAGCTGGGCCATTGGCAGCTCCACGACTCCAGTTTCAACGGTCCCAGCTGAGTGTCATTATAAACCAATCCCATTCCCTACATAAGCAAGGACCTCCAGCCTTCTCTCTCCTCTCTCTCTCCCCCCCCCCTTCATTTCTCCCGATTGGTTAACATCTACCCTTCCCTTTGCTCCCTTTCCCAATAAACTCCATGTGGGTTTGGTTGAGTTTAGGGGATGTGTTTCATCACCTGAAGCTGTAGCAAAGAACAACAGTAACTGCCCGATGACCGAGTTTGATCCCCCCAAACCCTTAAAGCTGACATAAAGAATTGACTGCTACGAGTTGTCCTGTGACCACCACACATACAAGTTGTGACACACAATAAAATATAATGAATTTTTTATAAATTAAAAAAAAATTAGGACTGGGAAGTCCCACATTTTAAGTTTGTGGTTCCTGGATGATCCAGTGACAACACCTGTTCAGCAAGTATTTTGTCCCCACAGACACAGAGGAGGAGTGTCCAAAGTCTCTCAATGAATATCAATTCAGAAGACCAACTCCAGGACAGAAAGCACTTAGTATCAAGGGAACAGTGCAATAATCCAATGGTTCTGGACAAAGATCGGAAGGGGCCACAGATACTTTAAATACATCACATGAAATAAAACCATCACCGAGTCCCACTACTGTTTTCACAGTTTATTCAAACATTGAATCGTTAAAATGCGGGCATCCTCCCCAGAACGAAGCATGCCCACCACACAGGCTCTACCACTACTCTATTATTTCTCCATCCGTGCTCACACACTCCTGCAAACACACAGGGTTCAGGACCCCAACTGTTTGGTAATACAGAGCTCAAAGCCAACCATAGGCCCTTTATCTCCTTTGCACCAGGCTCTGAATAACAGATCAAGGAGCTAACACAGCCAGTACTCTTACCCAGAGTCAAGACTTCCCTAATACTCCATTTTCTTTACCTAAGACGTGGAAACCAAAGCAGTTTTGCTTACAATTTTAAGTCTTCTATTCTATTCTCTGAATGGCTGAGCTAGGACAGAGTTGACCTTCACAGTGTCAAGACTGGCAGAGTGAGTCCCAGTCACAGCCTGGCCATGACACTGCAAGTTACCACACAGGTGCAAACAATGCTTTGACAGTTATCAACACTTGAAACCAAACTCTACTAATGCATTAATATCAAACCTCCACATTTTTCTGACGCAGCAAAAAGTTTTCTAAAGGTGGCAGCAGCTGTGACAGACAAGGCACTTTGTGCTTAATTCAGTGTTTCTCATGAGAGATTGCCACAGAGGAGGCCAAGGCAGCCCTATTTGCAGGCAACCCTTTTGGGTGCAGGGGCAAGTATCCCCCAGGAAGGCATCTGCAAAGGAAAATTTTGTAATCATGATTCCAAGGCAAAATGGCTACTTAAAGTTGGGATGGGGAAAGACCAAGACAAACACAGTTGCACCATGAGTTGAGGAATGAGATCGAGGACTCATCAATGGGCTGGGTCTGCCTTGACTTCCATGGAGGCTGTGAGATGTGCATGGCAGCACCTGAGCCTCCACCAGGTTCAAGATGTCCTATAGCACTTCCGGCTATTGCTGGTAGGCACCATGTATCTCAAGATCGTCTTGTATAGCCGTGAGGAGAAAGTGAGGTTTGCTCACATGGTCCAGAACTCCTTGGCGGTGCCCAGTGGCTGTGCGGGCTTTCTAACAGCAACAAAGGGTCACACTCGTGCCTCCCCTATCAACATTCAGGAGAGCAGCACGAGGCTTTTGGATGGGGAGATAGGTCAGTGGGTTGGGGTCTTTGCCCTAGTACCATAAGTAAAGTGCACCATGAATGAAGGCTGTGGAAAGCCACTCTGCCAGGCTGAGGTATGAGGAGAAAACACCCACACCTGTAGGATGGAGGTTGTTCCTTCAGCCACACTGTTGGCTGTTCACACAGACTTTCATTATTGCGTTATTTCTTTAACTATAGATTTTTCAGCTATAAAGAGAAAAGAAATACTTGATGGGCTTGGCAGGTGGCATATCACCACAACACAGGCATTAGCTGGTACTCAGTGTATATAATCTCAGTAATGGTGGATGATGGCTCTTTTTCTCCTTCATTCTGATGAACTTAGGAAATCCAAATTCTCTTTGAAACACCTAGCAAACTGGCTCGCAGGGCTTCTAGAGAAGCAAGACAGACAGCTGTTTATGGCGGATGGAGAAATGCTTGTCTTTGTCCTATCAGTTTCCTGGTGCACTATAGAGGCATAGCCGCTTACAATCACATTGCAGAGACTTGACTATGCACGTTAACAGGTTCTACAAACTTCTTGGAAATCTTTCAAGAGTGTGAGAGGAAAACCGCAATGTTGTACAGGGGACTCTGCCCAGTTTGGGGTTCCCAGCACAACCTTATTTTGCTGCCTTCATGTAGGAAGGAATGGCCCCCCTGGCCGTCAGACCCTCAAAGCGCTTGTAGGTATAATTGATGAAGACCCAGTCTTTGTTCTTGTAGTCAGTCTCAGGGTGATTACTGGTGGTCACTGGTGAAGAAACAAGTGAGACTGAGTCACTGTCCTCCCTCAAGGACAGGTCAGCCCCAGAGACATGACACCCTGAAGAACAACACAGTTCCCATTCAGGAAGGGTTGTTTTTCAATGTGCAAATTTTCTATTTTGCGATGGGAGGTGATGGCACACGCCTTTAGTCCCAGCACTCGGGAGGCAGAGGCAGGCGGATCTCTGTGAGTTTAAGGCCAGCCTGGTCTACAGAGAAGTTCCGGGACAGCCAGGGCTACACAGTGAAACCCTGACTCTAAAAAACAAAACAAAAAAATAATTTCTGTTTTGCTTACCTATGTTCTTTGAACTTTCTTTCCTACATAAATATTTTAAAGTTTTTTTTTTTTTTTTTGCTCTTATCGTCTCAGTTTACCTCAGCTGAGTTAGTTTTGTCACTTGCTCAGCTAGCTCCAAGTCTAAACACAGATTTATATTCATGCCCCATTCAGTAGTCACAGCACTCCCTGACAGTACTGATAAACACACAGGATCTGAAGTTCCCCTCCACATTCTGAGGAGAATCTGTAATGTCACCCCAAAACAGCAGGGGAGGATACAGCTCTGAGGCTGCAGTGACAGCCTGGGGGGAGGGGGTGGGGTGGGGATTACCTGTGGGTTTAAGAATATCCGACTCTGGAAATTCATCGAAGTTGGAAGTATCATCGATGCTCTTGATTTCAATAGATATCGCAGCTGGTCTCTCCCTGACAGGAACAGATACACCAAATCACCAGGCAGTATTCCTGTGGAGGACGCTGACCAAGTCTTTCTCAGAAGACCCATCTGACATGGGAGGACTAGTCACTGATAGGCAGAATTTGTTTTCTCTGGATGCTAAGTAAGCCAACTGGCTGCATCTGAGCAAAATTATCATGAAGAACTGGTAACTCAAGCCAGCAAGATGGTACACGCCTTTAATCACAACAATCAGGAGCAGGAGGCAGGTGACTCTCTTGTGAGTTCAAGGCCAGCCAGGTGTACCTAATGAGTTTCAGGACAGCTGGAGCTATACGGAGACCCTGTTTCTTTTTTGTTTGGCCTTTTGAGACAGGGTTTCTCTGTGTAGCCCTGGCTGTCCTGGAAATAGCTCTGTGGATCAGGCTGGCCTTGAACTCACAAGAGATCTGCCTGCCTCTGCCTCTGCCTCCTGAGTGCTGGGTTTAAAGGTGTTCGCCACCAGTGTGGGGCTGAGACACTGTCTCAAAAAACAGCAAAAACCAACCAACCAAACATTCCAACAGAAGACAGGAGAACAGCTACAGCTCCATGCCCCCTTAGGAGGACCCCTCCTAGAAAGGAAAGAGCCTCTAAATAGCCTGCATTGGGCACTTCCGTGATCCCACTGGGAAGATTAAATCAACAGGGTGTTGGGCACAGTGGAGACAAGGAAAGTAGACTGAGTCCCAGGTGAGCCCGAGGCCAGCCTGGTCTACAAAGGGAGTCCCAGGACTGCCAGAGCTGTTACACAGAGAAACCCTGTCTCAAAAGACAAACAAAAACCAACAAAAGTCAAGACTCTAAATCAGAATACAATTATAAAATGGCAACACACTTTGTGCTTAGTAAACCTTGAGTGCTAATGACAACAGATGCTGTAGCAGGTGGGTTAGGTGCCCAAGTCACACCTCCACGCTGCCCTCTCAACAAGCTTCCCTCCTTCCCCGCTCCTGCCCTCTGCTGTCCACCGCTCCCACCTTCACTCACTGGTCCTCTACCTCCCAGAAACAGCCTCCATCTCCTGGAGGTCTTCAACTGCAGAGGTTAGGTGTGAACACAGACATGAGCTTCCTGGACACCCTTCACTTTACTCTGTCAGTCACTGACTGACTCCTCATTTTCACAAGTGAAAGACTCTAAATGTCTCAAGGGCTCTCTTCCTCCCAAACTGGCACTAAGGAAATCACAATGCAGGGACGGTGGCACATGCTTGTATGTAAGCACTTGGGAGCAAGAGTGGGGGAGAATCACGAGTTCTTGGTCATCGTCGGCTACAGCCCTCCTAGGAGGCCAGGCTGGGTTGCAGGGGACCCAGTCTGTGGGTAGTGAGACGGCTCAGTGGGCAAAGGTGCTTGTTCCACAAACCTGGTGACCTGATTTGATCCTGGAGCCCATGTCAAAGTTAAAGAGAAGAATGAATTCCAAAGTTATCCTCTGAACTTCACTCTCGCACTGTGGGATGCATACCCTCCCACCTCCAAAAACAAGTGATGTTAAATCCTGGAAACTAACACGGTGCATACCTGATATGTTCCCAGTCAACACCTTCAAAGAAAGGGTTATTTTTTATTTCTTCAACTCCAGAGCCTCCAACTCTATGTTCCCACTCACAGCAGAACCTGGAAAATAGAGGCTTTCCGCACACTCCAAACATTTTCCTTCAGAAAAAGGGATAGCCAGGCTCCTTCATGCTCTCCCCCCCCCCCCAGCCCCCAAGGGAGGAAGCAGGAGCACCCAGGATTCATTCCTGTCACAAGGCTGAGCGTGGAGGCGCTCTGCTACCTCAGAATCAGGCCCTTGGCTTTCTCGGAGATGGGAACTTCTGGGGGAAAGGTCAAAGTTTCCTTCCAGTTCATCACCTTCTTATATGTCTCTTGTGGGGTCTCAGAGCAGAAAGGTGGGTAGCCTGTAACAAGCAGGAAGTACAGAGCTTTACAGCCCAGAACCCAGAGTCTGAGGCAGTTGTCAGCACAGGTCCAGCGACTTACCACCTCTGCATGTTCATTCGCCCACCATAATGGAGGATTTTCACTCTCCCTAGAAAATATCTAAACCCCCTTTTTTGTTTTGTTTTTCAAGACAGGGGTTCTCTGTGTTGCCCTGGATGTCCTGGAACTCACTCTGTATTCCATGCTGGCCTCAAACTCACAGAGATCCACCTGCCTTTGCCTCCCGAATGCTGGGTTTAAAGGCATGCACCACCACGGACCAGCTATCTACACACATTTTTCATGTTGCCAACTCAAAGTAAAGAGTTGTACCTCTGATACCACTGGAAAGCAGCTAACATTGAAGCTGAAGAAAAGAAATGACAAGCAGAGGTGCAGTGTGGAAATCAGCATTCAAGAAGAATAATAGAGGGCACACTGTGAAAAAGCAGGACCCTTTCGAGGGAGGGCCTCACATGGGTAAAGTGTCAAGAAAGCTGTAAGGGAAAAGCATGGGTCTCAAAGAGACCATCATGGCCTCTTTTTTGTTGTTTACTACAAGTCCAAGCAAGATGACAAACACTTGCACTCCCTATTGTCAGCCTGTCCTCCATATGGAGGACATTCATATCCAACATTCCCCAAGACAACGTGATACCAAACCCACCCTGTCATCCACAGACTCATCTACTAGTGCTCCATGGCATATGGCCATGCTGTCATAGATATTCCCTAAATAGAGAGACACACCATCCAAATACAAGGGAGAAAGAAAGGTTTCATGGGATATAAGCTTCAAGAGAGGAAGCAAGTCACAATTCACAAACCAAACAGCCTTGGTTAAGCTCTTTGTACACAATAAGTGCTTGATAAGTGACAGTGGCTAAATGGGCCAGATGGAAAGAATAGAGTTAGAGAAGAAATGAAAAATAATAAATGACCAGCACAGGAACACAAGAGGTGAGGAAACCCGTGAATACAATGCGTGACTTGAAAGAACTGTCCAACAATGAAACTCTGAAGGCAAGAGAGCAAAGCATCTAGTTGGCCTCCAGGTGACACAGGGTAACAGAACTGGAAGTCTTTCCCAGGCACACAGAGAACCCCAGGGAAGCATGCAACTTACCAATAAGCATCTCATACATGATCACCCCGAGAGACCACCAATCACAGAGCTTGTTGTACCCGGTCTGCATAAAGACCTCAGGAGCAATGTAATCAGGAGTGCCCACTGTGGAGAAGGCCTGAAATACGGTACACACATTAGGGAGGCCTGGCCAGGAGTGAGACCCCAAGCTTAAAATGCTATTCCAGAGACCAAGGGCCTTGAGCTCCACCATGGGCACCCCAAACTGCAGGACAGCACAAGCCTACTACAAACTCATCTGCTACAACACTTTCTAAAATGAACAATAAAGCTTTCTTAATAAGGCAGAAGACCCCTCCCAAACATACCCAGAGCCCATACCATAAACAACTCATTAAGAACCAGACTCTAGGGTGTGGAAAGATGGCTCAACAGTTAAGAGCTCTGCCTGCTCTTGCAGAGGACCCAAGTTTAATTCCCAGCACCCACATGGCAGCTCACAACAGTCTGAAACTCCAGTTCCAGGGCATCTGATACCAATGAATATAAAATAAAAAGTTAAATTTATGTCTAAAAAGAAAAAAGTTAAAAAAAAAAAGAAAAAAAAAAAACCCAGAATGAGCCTTCCTAATTCTGCCAAGATGTCTGCAAGGAAGAGCTGGCTGGCTCAGTGATGCAGGTAAACCTAACATACAAGCATGTTTTCAAAGCCCCAGAACTAACAGCCCAGGTTAGAGGTGAAATGTCTTGCACCAATTCTTTCCAACACATACTGTGAAGCCTTGTTAGTGAGACCTGAAGTTCTAGTGTCCAAACACTGACCGATGTCTTCAATACCTCAGGCTTTCTGTGATAAACAAGAGGGAGTCTCCAAACGGCAGTACTTTACTCTCATATATACACTAGGCTACAAAACCTAGGAGGACGTATGGCCAGAGCCTGCCATTTGGGGTTTGCTATGTGTAAAGCAGCCTCTGAAATACAATGACAGCCCTGCTCTCATCTGCTAGCCTGAGTGCTGGGATTAAAGGCATTCCAAAACATGGGCAACCTTATTTCAGGTTTTAAATGAAGGTCTTGGATTTCATTTTTAATTAATTTTTTCTTTGTTTGTTTTTTGTTTCTCGAGACATGGTTTCCCTGTGTAGCTTTGGAGCCTGTTCTGGAACTCACTCTCTAGACCAGGCTGGTCTTGAACTCACAGAGATCTGACTGTCTCTGCCTCCCAAGTGCTGGTACTAAAGCGCCACTGCAGCTCGGCTTGAATTGATTTTTTGTACAAGGCGAAAGATAAGAATCTAATTTCATTTGAAAGTACAACACATGTTTAACTTCTGCAGTAAAAACCCTGCACTATCTGTTGAACAGGCTATCTTTTCTTAAATATTTATTTTTATTTTTATGTGCATTAGTGTTTTGTCTTGTGTGTATGCCTGTGTTAGGAGGTCCCCTGGAGCTGTAGCTACCATGTAGGTGCTGAGAAAGTGAACCTCAGTCCTCTGGAAGGATAGTCAGTGCTCTAAACTGCTGAGCCATCTCTCAAAACCACTGGGGCACAATTTTAAATGTGGGCATAGTCAAACACATAAAAAAATTTAAATTCCCCTTTCCAATTCTGATTACCAAGTACTTTTTCTAACACAAAGAAAAGGTAAGGCAGATGAACAAGAGTCCTGATTTGCCTAAGGGTGTGTGTGTGGGGGGGGGGGGGTGTCAACAGCTTAACAAGTTTAAGAGATGCTTCCTGAAGGTGGGCATGGAGTTACACCCATAATCCTACTATGTTGCTGGAATCAAGAGGATTAGGGGTTTCTTTCAAGTCCAGCCTCAGGTATATAATGAGTCCTAAGCCAGTCTAGACTGACTTTATGTAAAAAACAAATGAATAAATAGGTAGTGCCTTAAATACTCAAAGCAGATGTTTATACTTAGTCTGACCTTGCGATCCCCAGCTTAACTAAACCCTTTGTACCTTGGAAGGGAGGACAGGAAGGAAGATTTGTTACCCACTGGAAGGCCAGAATGAAGTCACCTCCAAAAACTCAACAGCAGAACAGCCTAATGCTATCTACCCTCCCTCACAGGACTCCTTTGGGGGCTAACAATACAGTGACAATACTGCTGCTGCTCAAATATTAAACGGGGAAGATGCTCAAATGTTTCAACTACATACATACGCTTTTTTTGGGTGTTATTGTTCCTGGTGATAGACAGTACTAGGAACAGCACCCAGGGATTAATGCACACACACAGTTACTGAGCACCATCCCCAGCCCATTGGTATTCATTTTAAAACTTACTCAGGCTGGTTTGTACTATTTTAGAAGCCTCCAATATTACTTACTAACTGGCGTCTGTTTCTTTTCCAGGTCTCTGCTTTCCTTTTGGAATTCATGTTCTGGAAAGCTAAAAGTAGAGAAATTAAGTCCTAATCAAAATCAGAATGTTTACTGCTTTGGTTGCTCTGGTACTAGTCATACCACACTAAACTTTCTGGGTGAAGCCAGGTACACCAGTGGGAGGCAGATCTCTGTAAGCTCCAGATCAGCCTAGGATACATAGGGACCCTCAATCTCACAGCAACAACAACAATAAAATAAAACAAACAAACAAACAAAGCCAAACTAACTCTAGTGACTCATTTTTCATTCATCTATCACCTCAAATACAAAGCTCTAAACACAGTAGCTCTAAGAGTCCCAGAGGGAATTGTGAACAGTTTCATGTGGCTCACAAAGCCAGAGAAGACAGCAGGCTGATATATCAGGACTGAGAGAAGGAAGCTCAAATGTCTATCAACCGTACAACTACCTTTTTGTTTTTTGGGTTTCGGTGGTGGCACTGCTGAAGAAACAGAGGGCCTTCTACATGCTGGACAAGCAGCCTATTCCTGAGCCACAACCACATGCCTTCTGTGGACTTTGTTCTATGATCACCTCCTATAATCATGCTGCATACTTATTCAGTGTTCACATGTACTCAGATCTAGTTTGTGACATTCCAGAAAAACACATCAACTCAAAATGAATCTGCAGATGGACTGGACCCATGCATGCTGACCTACAACACTCATAACTTCTAAAACTTATCGGAAGACCCAAGAGCAGCAAGTAGACTCCTGGAGTTAGGGTACACTGTGAGTTTTCTAGGATGAGCTGTGTTCACGTGTGTGCAGGTAGTGTTTCCATACCCGTGTATATATGAGGCCTGAAGAGCACAGGTGTCATTCCTTAGATGCCACCAGCAGGATCTCTTATTGGCTTGGAACTTACCAAATAGGTTAAGCTGGCTGGTCACTGGCCACTGGGAACCCTTCTGCCCCCAACAACCTCAGTGCTAAGCCACAACCATGTACCTTCATGCCTGGCTTTTACGTACACTTTAGGAATCAAACCTGGTCTTCATGATTGCAGGGCAAGCACTTTACCTACAGAGCCATCCCTGTGATGTTATTACACACTCTCCCATGTTTTGATACTGCTCAAACAGAAAAAGAACACCTGGTGTGGTGCTTTGAAAGAAAATGTCCCCAAAGGGACACTACTAGGAGGTGTGGCCACATTGGAATGGGTGTGGTCTTGTTGGAGGAAGTGTGTCACTGTGGAGATGGGCTTTGAGGGGTCTCATTTATGCTCAAGCCATGCACACTGAGGCAGTTTACATCCTGTTGTCTGCATATCAACAAGTAGCAGCTCCTTCTCCAATACCACGCACAGCACCATACACCTTGTCATGATGACAATGGACTGAATCTTTGAAACTGTAGCTACCGCCTCAATTAAATGTTCCTTTATAAGAGTTGCTGTGGTTGAGGTGTCTCGTCACAGCAATAAAACCCTAAGACACCTGGAGCAAATCCAGTCTGGAGCTCTCTGAGAGCTTTCTCTTATCACTCCTTACTGTACCATGATCACACCCAGCACCTTCCTAGCAGAGTTCTCCAGAACTGGAAGCACCCATCTCACCTTGTTAGAGGCATAGGAAATATACAAAAGTACTGCATTTCTTCTCTAAAACTCATAGTGTGAGATTTTTCCATGATTCCTGCACAGTTTAGTTACCAGGATAATCACTCTTACACACTGGATTAAGGAACAAGGCAACCAACATCACTGTTACACTTACTGAAATCACTGGGGAGACTGTGGTTCAGGTTCCTATAAAATTCTGTCCTATGTGCTTTTTTCAGGCCTGTGCAAAGGCCAAAGTCAGAAAGTTTCACATGGCCCTATGAGGAAAGAAGAAACACAGTGATGGATGGACAAACACTGTTGGGTAGGTTGCCCTTCCAGCAACCATTATACCTCTAGTCAACACACTGCTCCTCACCTATCTTACTAATGAAAAACACATAATAACAAACTACTAAAATAGTGGTCCAGCTGGGTATAGTGGCACATGTCTTTAATCCCAGCATTTGGGAAGCAGAGGTAGGTGGATCTCTGAATTTGGGGCCAGCCTGGTCTACAGAGTGAGTTCCAGTATGGCCAGGGCTACACAGAGAAACCCTGTCTCAATACCCACCCCCTAATAAAAAGAGACTAAGAACAATCCATTACAGAATCATAGCAAGCTTACCTGTAAAAAGGAGAAAAACATACAAGGTGAATCACCGTTCCCATGTCATCACTGCATGTAAACAGGCATTGCAGCCAGGGCTGCCTAGCTCGGCAGACACACTGGTCAGGGTGCCATGCCCCCCGCCCCCATACCTTGCTGTCCAAGAGAAGGTTGTCTGGCTTGATGTCTCTATGGATGAATCCCAGCTGGTGAATGGAATCTATGGCTAATACTGTTTCTGCTATGTAAAACTGTGTCTCCTCTTCTGTCAGAGTATCTTTTTTCATCAATAAGGTCATCATGTCCCCTGGAAGCAGAAAAATACAAAGCCACCAGCATACACACACAATGCATGTACACACACACACACACACACACACACACACACACACACACACACACGTAAAATGTAAGAACCAGTTTTTGAATACAAGCCAACTAAACCCGACCATATTGTGTCCCAGATACTGATTCACAGTGCTGACATGGGAGGAAATAGCAAGAGGTTTCCACTACTTAAAGAATGAATCTCACAACTAAACTAGGTAATATGGACTGCTACGCTGTGATTTAACTTCTTCTTCGGAGAGTGAGAATTTCTCCTACCGTTACAGTGTATTTGCTTACAACCATATTTTGGACTGAGGACAGGGGGAGGCGGGGAACGTACTTTACTTTTCCTTTTTTGTTTTTTTTCAAGACAGGGTTTCTCTATATAGTAGTCCTAGCTGTCCTGGAACTCACTCTCTAGACCAGGCTGGCCTTGCACACACAGAGATCAGCCTGCCTTTGCCTCCCAAGTATTGGGATTAAAGGTGGGTACCAACACTTCCCAGTGACTGACCTACTTTACTTTTAAGTTTGCTCCATTATCTGTAAAGTTGTCTATATCTAGAGGAAAATGGCAATTCCACACACGTTGAATTGCTGTTACTGAAATGAAATGCCAAATAAGATGTAAATATTTAGGGAGACTTAATGAGATATTCCACTAACACAGCCAGGCAAACTAGTAGGAAGATGGTGTAGTTAGATATTCACCTTTTATGCACCTGTGGCATAGACCACACCCATTGGGGGTGGAGACAGGGCCGGACATGACCTGGGGAAACTAAGTCTGAGGAGGGGGCACAGAGAGCTCTCTTGCTTGCAGCACGGGGACAGGAATAGATCTGGAGGCATCCTTGGGACCAGGAACCTGCTGGTGTTCATCTGTCTATGTTGTGAGGTATTTCTCCCTGAATAAGCATCTATTCAGCCTATTTGTTTCTCCTGATCCTTATTAAGCATCAGTAAGGTGGCCTGTGGGCAGATGAGCATAGGCAGCAAATCCTGGCCCACTACTCTACACTGGAATCTAAACTTGACAGATAAGCGCACACTGACAGTTCTCAAGACCATGGGGCCTTCTCCTAACACCTCATTAGAGGGATTTAAGGGACACCACTATCCATTATACAACTTTTAACCTAATGACAAACTCCTTAGCTTCCTGCAAGGTGGGAATGTAGAGCTTAGTACCAGCATCATAAAGCAAGAAAAAAAAAAGATTCATGTCCTAAAATTCAGCAATTAAACAAAAGCAAAGAAAGAAAATGTGTAAAGTAGCTAAAAAGTTAATTAAAAACAGGAAGGTTCAGTTTCTACCTCATGTATAGCTACTTACAATAGGGAACAAGGAAAAGAAAGACCTCTGGCATAGAGCCTCACTCATGCCACACTCTGAGGGGCAGTTCATGTACATTTCTTTCTTTCTTTCTTTCTTTTTTTTTTTTTTTTTTTTTTTTTAATTCTTGGCCATAATTTTTCCCTTAAACAAAAATTACATAAAAATCCAAGGCTTGAAAACCATGAGTCCTCAACATTCCTGGCAACACCCTGAGACCAAAGATAATGGCCTCCCTACAAGGAGTGCAGCTGATGGCCTCACTGTGTGTGTTAATTTGCCCAGATGGGAGAGCTCAGGCCAGCTGGTCTATGGCTGTGCATAGGGATAGCTAGGGAGACACATGGTAAGGACCTGGTGGCCAGGCTGTTTCTTACTATTTAAGAGCTGGCATATAAATACTTAAGACAAAGGGGGGGGGTGGGCATCCTACAAGCCAACTCTACTGTAATCTTGACCTGTTGTTAGTAAAAATTATTGGTAACCTGGGTCTAAACTAAGGGGTGTCACAAGACCAATATAGTATGTCCCAATAAATTACATTTGCTTTGCGAAAAAACAAAAGAAGATATGGGGACTGGGAGGAGAGGAAGGAGAGAAACTGGCTGGGACACAAAAATAAATACTTGCAAATGTTCAGAGTTCCTGGTGCACCAGGAGAAACTGTTCCCAGCACAGATGGGATACTCTGTTCTGGCTTACTTTGTAGCTGTCTAAGCTTGAAATCTCAGAAAGGAGAAGTAGGCTCTAGATATTAATATAGATAAAGAGAAAAATTATTCATTCTATGGCTTCAGTGTAATCAGGTAAACAACATCTGGGGTTCCGTAAGCAGGAAAGCAGGCAGAACTCCCTACTTTCTTATAAAGGAAAAGAAACAGGAAGATTTGTCTGTCTGAAATGGGCAGTGAATGAAAAGCTAAGACCTCAGAGGCACAGCACAGAGCAGGCACTAACTTCCTTTCTAGACCTAGAATCCACACAGAAAGCAACTCTGAGCAGTTACAAATAGAAGGGAGGGTTAATTGTTGATGGGAGAGGAAAACCACAGGACAAAAGGGAAATCGACCTTCCAGTTGTGAAGTAATTACCTCCAGGCAGGAACTCCATGATTAGGTAGAGGTTTAGCTTATCCTGAAAACTATAGAACATTTTCACAACCCACAGACTGTCTGCCTCCACTAGAATGTCACGCTCCGCACGGATGTGGCCGACCTGGAGGCACACGCATTGCATTAATGACAAGCCTTGCTCTGCTGTAAACTGCATATCTGCTTAAACAATTTAAATACTGTTCTGGGTATTTAGTTGTAATGAACAAAAGTTCTGCTATCACAGAACCAACTTGAAACTTTTGGAATTCAGTAACAGAAACCTGCTAAGAAAAACTGCCAAAATGAACGGCTGCCTTCAATGTAACAGCAACTGTAGCAGTGCTACAAAGTAAACCTCTGATTAGTTAAAATCACTATATATATATATATATATATATATATATATATATATATACACATATACATATATATATGTATGTACATATATGTGTGTGTATATATACACACACACACATATATATATATACATACATATACATACATATATATAGTAATGATCTTTTTTCTAAGGCAGAGTCTCACATCTTCCATGGCTTTGAACTCACTATGTAGCCAAGGTTTACATTGGACCTCCTGCCTCTGTATCTCCACAACTGAAGATTATAAGCATGTACTGCCACATGGGTTTGTGAACCAGGGATAAGCAAGCACTCCACCAGCATCCCCAGCCCACAGTTCTAATGATCTCATAGGATAAATAGCTGCACCTCAGTTTGCATTATCCAGGTGAACATGCTTTTATCTGAGGTTTTTTGTCTGGTTCTGGTTTAATTTTGCCTGAGGTGGAATCCAGGACCTTGCTCATGCTACAAGAACACTCTATACAAGAGCTCATGCTCCCTAATTACCTAGCTACATGCCCTGCACAGTGACATCAAGGTAACATGGCCCTGAGTGACAATTCTAGGCACCATGACACCACCGCACTTAGCCTACTGCTGTGTGCTACACTACAATATGAAAAAATACAAAGTTTTTATTGGGTTACAGATTCAAAAATCAAGGCATTTCTAGTTCTCTACATTTGCTGCAACATCTAGCTCAAAAGAGACCGAGCTTCATGCAGCGTAGGGGAACTGGTACAATTGCTTTGTTAAAATATAATGCTTTGGGGTGGGGGGGAGGTGGCCCAGTTGGTAAACCCTGGGTTTAATCCCCAATACCATATAAAGCAGATGGTGTGTGTGTGAGGGGAGGGGACAGGGACACATTCCTGCAAGTCTAGCACTGAGAGATAGAAGCAGGAGGATCAGTTCAAAGTGACCATCCCCCATTACATAGCAAATCTGAGGCTAGCCATGGCAACATGAAACCTTGTCTCAAAAATGAGTATATCACATTCACATTATTTAAAATATGTAATAATAACCAAAACATTATTGCATATTCTTAAATTACACACCTTGCTTTTTTAGGTGTCACAAGATCCAAAGATGGGCTGAATCAAATCTAAGTTCATTAAGGTTAGTCCAAGCCTGTGATAAAAGTTTGATCTTAAGTCCTTACAATATGTTCCAAAGTCAAAGATGTATAGAGATTCATGAACTGGCACTCCTGTGGTGCTATTATAATATGATGCTCATGCAGTGCCTGTTTTATTGGGATGCTCTTCCATTATCTGCTAGGAGACACACCCTATTGTCTCCTGACACATCTAACCTTCCAATTCTCCCATACTCTATGGGGCTTGAAAGCATAATAGTTTACAAATCTGAGTTTTTAGTCTCCATTATCATGGTTCCTAGAGAAACTCTGTAATAGCTTCAATGTGTGAAAATTCGTAGGTTTTTGCTAAGTGTTCTTTATGGCACATGGTGATAAGCACACTGCTATGAAACCAGTCCAACATTTACCTTACCTTGCCTTGCCTTAAATACAAAAAGCTTATGAAAATTTACTGCTGCTTGCTGACCTGCAGCTGTACCAATGGCCTTGTCACTATAAGGCCAGGAGACTGTGATCTCTGTTCTCCTGGGTCTCTATTTCCTACAAAGACCCAAAGAAAAGAGAAGGTACTAGTGTTACCACTTATCACTCATCCTGAAGGACAGAATGGTGACTGTAACATTTCCTGTTTGTCAAGAGGAAAAGCTAGCCACTGGGAGTTTACCTTACCCTTCTCTCCTGAGGCTGGCATGGCAACCAGAGCCTTGTCATCTAGAAGTGGAGTCAGCTGAATACAGAGCCAGAGATGCAGCTCACACTGGAAGGTTCTCTTCCCTACACATAGTATCTAAGGCACTAATGAAGCAGACAGACCAGTCAGTCTTGTCCTTCCACGGCAGTGCAACACATCAACTGCACTGAAACACAACTGTCTAGCACCAGCTAACACTCATGCCTTGTGTTTTTAAACGTTTCTAGGTAAAAGAAGCATACCCTTGGTGGAGCAGAATAACCTGCGCTCTCAACAGGTAGTTATACACCTGCTCAGTTCAGACATGTAAGTTCAACATGGCAACTTCGATTCTCAGTCTAAAACAATGTAAGCTCTACCCCAAAAATGAGGACAGGCTGTACTGGCCTACTTCTCACACTCACCTGGCATAAACACTGAATGCTCTTTCAGGGCTTAGCTGACCACATACTGGGATTAAAGACAGAACTGAGTCCATCAACTAGGGGTGCCCTGAATAGTTAAGTTAGTGTTCCATTTAATGTGTAAGTTAATGCATTATTTAAAATTTCTAATTCATATTTACTTTCATTTAGAAAATTATATAGTAACCTTATATTTGAAAAAGTGTATAACTTCTGTTTAGATCACCTATTATGCTGCACACCTGGCACCTGCTAATATGAGCTTCCAGTCACAATGTACCTACTTAATAACTTTCCTTTTTCTAACTTTTTCTCTTTTTTGAGACAAGGTCTCTCTACATAGCCACAGCTGTCCTAGAGTCCACTATGTAAACCAGGCTGGCCTCAGACTCATAGAGATCCTCCTGCCTCTTCCTCCCCAATGCTGGAACTAATGGTGTGTACCACCATGCTCCTTCTAACTTTTCAAGTGTTGTGTTTTGTATACATATGTGTCTTTGTGTGTATGAATGGAGGTCAGAGGATGGCTTCCATTCCAAGGGAGCCAGTTCTCTCCAGCACATCTACAGCACTGTCCCTAGGTAACACCGGAAAAGGCCTCTAAAGCACAATGCATTAAGTCGGTGTCTGCTTAAACTGTAGTAATATCTGAGGAGCTGCTAAAGACCTGCTTTCAACTGGAATCAAGATTCCAAAGCTTCTGTGTAAACCATGAAAAAGAAAATACAGTAACTAAATAATCACTATGCATATGGCTATTTTGTCTGCATGTATAGGTGCCATGTGAATGCAATGCCCCAAGAGGCCAGTAGAGGGTGTCAGATTCCCTGGGGCTAGAATCTTAGACTGTTCTTAGCTACAATGTGGGTGCTAGGAATTGAATGCAGGTCCTCTAGAAGAGCAGCCAGTGCTTTTAAAACACTAAACCATCTCTCCAGCCCCCACACTACAAAATTTTGAGGTGGCACTTGAATGTAGCCAGAAAAGACAAGATGTGGTGCCAGGCTCTATCCTTGCTGCTAGGCTCCAAATGGAAAGTTCTGCCTGGCACAAGATCTCTGATCTTACACTGGAATTCTACAGCATCGCCCACTGCTATCTGTTTCTGGCCAACCAGCCAAGCTTAGCCAGATCTACAGAAGGCCTGCACTCTTACTTTTATTTGGTAGGGTAGGGTGTAACTAGAGATGGAACCCAGGGCCATGCACATCATGGGCAAGCACTCACTACTAAGATCCAGGGCAGGCCCAAGTGTTCCTAACCATAAAGGAAACTTTCCACTGCTCTCCCATTTACTTTTTCCAGACTAATTCAGAAATTGGCATGGTGGCTTCTCTTAGGTGCTAATGAGCATTGTATTCTGACCCTTCTGAGCTCTACCTCTCCACCCAAGAAATACAAAAAACTTGTTATTTCTCAGGATTGGTAAGACACTCCTATTAGTGTGGCTATGACAGCTGAGAGACCCACTTTTCAGCCTCCACTGGAAAGCAGTATTCACAGTTCACAGGCATTATCTGTGTTTTTAAACATATAAGTGCATATTTTGGGGAGAAGAAGTAGGATCATATGTATAATATACATAAAAGAACTAACTAGAGAAACTGTAATAAAATAAACAGAACAACTAAACAAAAAGAGTAACTTGAGTAACAAATCCGCAACCTGACGGCAGCTCACGCTGAACATTACCTGCTCCTTCTCGAGCATGTCTGCTTTGCGCAGGATTTTCATGGCATACACATGCCCTGTGTCTTTCTTTTGAACGAGCCGCACCTGGAAGGTTACAAAAGCAATGCTAGGTTGAGTTCACACTACCAAGCTGAGGATTTGTATTTCCAGCACTGGGGATCAAACCCGGAACTTCACAAATACTATTTATACTAGAAAATCATTATAATTTGAATATAAGCAATAACTACCAAAACACCAGACAATACTTTTTAATGTTAAAAATGAATATACTTTGCAGCCATGTTAATGCTGGAAAGATCTTCACCAATCAATGCGTCTGAATGCTTTAGCTGCTGGCTGACTAATTTTAAAGCCTTCAGTTTCAAATTTAAGACCTAGTTAAGCCCATGACAAAAATCAGCCAGTCAGCTTGGAAAGCCAAAGTAATAACCACAACATTTGCCAGGTGATGGTGGCACACAACTTTGATCCCATCACTTGGGAGGCAGAGGCAGTCAGATCTCTGTGAGTTCGAGCCTGGTCTACAGAGTGAGTTCCAGGACAGGCTCCAAAGCCACAAAGAAATCCTGTCTTGAAAATCAACAACTACAACAAAAACAAAACAAAACAAAACAAAAAAACCGACAAGATTTAAAGTGAAAATAACACAACAGGTCTTCTTGTACTTGAGTACAGTAACCTTAGTGCTAAGACTGAGGCATGGCTGCCACCAGTGTAAAACTAGTCTGGACTGTGGTATGACCCTTCGTCAAAACAAAACAAACCATGAGAGTAAAAGCTTATAAAAGGAAAAAATATTTAAACGTTGAAAACAAACAACAAAAATCAACCAGGTGATGGTGGCACATGCCTTTAATTCCAGCACTCAGGAGGCATAAACAGGAGGATCTCTGTGAGCTCAAGGCCAGCATGGTCTACAGAGCAAGTTCCAGGACAGCCAGGGCTACACAGAAAAACACTGACTCAAAAAGAACAAAAACAAAAACCACAACAAAAAAGAGACACAGTTTCTATGTAGCAGCACTGTGGTACTGGGAAAACAATAGCTTTAAACCAGAAGACTCCAGCTCAGCCTTTGGTCTGCATGCTCAACAGCTGTGTGATGGTGGCATCTTCAGAGTCTTAATTATAGACACCATCTATAAAATGGGTTACTGTCATGACTGCAGGAGAACTGTTGAGGGAATATACTGATATCCTTCAAAGTACCCTGACATCAGGATCTAACACAGTGGTACATGCCTATAGCTCCAATACTCTGGGCTTGAGGCAGGCGGATCATATGGTTGAAGCACACTTGGGCTACATATTATGACTCTGTGCAAAAAGAAGAAAGGAAGTGCAAACTGGGCACTGGTGGCACATGCCCTCTTGTGAGTTCAAGGCCAGCCTAGTCTACAGTGAGATCCAGGACAGGATCCAAAGTCACAGAGAAACCCTGTCTCAAAAAAACAAAACAAAAAAAACTACAATTAAAGACAGAGCCAATGCCAGCTGAAAAGACAGAGAAGTGATCTGAGACAATAAATTGGGGAAAGAGAGAAGATAGAAGTGAGGGGTGACCCTGCATGCCGGCCCACTGAACCCCATATATTTGTATACTTCAAGCTGTGTACACAATCGGGAACTCCTGTTGTTAGAAGTTGTGATGTTCTGGGATAGTTTTTTACCTCACCAAATGCTCCTCGACCTATGACTTTTAAAGACTCAAAATCTTCCAGCCCAAGCCTTGTTCTCTTTAATCGAAGAAACTCTGTTTCCTTCCGAGCATGTGCTGACCTCCTGAGTCGTTTCTAATGTTTAAACAAAGGAAAGGAAGGAAAGTTGAAATTCTGAAATCAAGTCCTATCTGCCTTGCATAGCTGGGAGCAGGGCCACACTAGTCTATACATAACCTTCTCACACATGACTGTATCACACAAGCATCCCTCAGTGGTTCCTACTCCCTGACCTGGCCATCAGATACAACAAGCAAGCCACACTGAAGGGGATCTGAGAATTCTGACTAAACTACGTCAATAATCCACTGTCCCAACATTTCTAATGAAGAGAGACAGATCTATTTGCCTTGAGCCCTTTCTTAGGTTAAATGTGTTTTTCTAGATCCTCTGGGACTTGTACATACTAGCATTCATCACCATATCTGAACTCCCTATTTTTTCTACTTGTATTGGGTGTTGCTATCACTGTTCTGGGTGTGTCACTTGGATTTCTGAAGTCATTTCCAGTGCTGTTTGGTTACCTGCATCATCCCGTATGGGCAGGGTTTTTGCCTCACATATCTGGGCAGTGTACAGAGAGGCTGATTTGAGACAATACTTTGCTTTGATAATGACATCAGAAATATACCTTACTTCTATGGAGTCTTTTCAGTGATTTATTCATACATTTACAGAACGTAGTGTAGGTCAGCCTCAGTCTTGCAGCAATTCCCCTGCCTCAATTTCCAAATGCTGGGATTACAGGCATGAAACACCATGAATTTTGTAAAAATGCTCACCTTGTTCTTTTAAATTCTAATTTAGTTTTACTAATTTCATCTTTTCCTTTCTTAGAGTTCTAACGCTAATTAATTATTGTAACTGTGACTAAAGATACTCCCTCTCCTGAGTATTTAATTAACTTCTTCCTCTGAATGAGTAACTGAGTGAAAGCATGCCATCACTCAAATTCCTGTCATTGAGCCAATAGCTTCTCTGATACCAAAACTAGCCTAATGGAGAAAGCACACTGTGCATCCTGGGGCCCAAGGAAAACAACCCCACATACGTCACCTCTTCATCTTTTAGGCCTTCTTCCTCCATCACTTTTTCTAACTTCTTCTGTCTAAAATAAATAAACACACATATATAAATAGCATTATTCTACCAAGCCTACATAAACATGATTGCTAACCACTTGTAAGGTATTCATTAGGAAAATAAACATTCATTTAGGTAAAAGCTCATGAAATACATTTTTACATTTTTGTTTGTTTGGCTGGTTTGGTTTTTCAAGATAGGGTTTCTCTGTGTAGCTCTGGCTGTCCTGGAACTCACTCTGTAGACCAGGCTGGCCTCGAATTCAGAGATCCCTCTGCCTCTGCCTTCTGATTGCTAGGATTAAGGGCGTGTGTAACCACCTCCCTTCAAATTAATATTTAAAAAAGACTGTATAAGCTACTGAAGTAACAAAGAAGCCAGGCAGGGTAATACATGCTTGTAATATCAGTCAGGTGAGAGCAGGAGGAGGATCAGGAATTCAGAGCCAGCCTCATCTCACAGAAAGTTCAAGATCAGCCTGAGCTTAGACACTGTGTTAGCGTTTTCCCTGCATGTATGTTTGTGTACTACATATGTGCCTGGTACACAAAAGAGAGCATCAGGTACCCTGAAACTTAAGTTACAGATGCTTATGAACCACCATGTGAATGCTGGGAACCAAACTCTTTAAGAGCCCTCTATAAGAGCCACCTCTCCAACACCTTTAGGGTACTTAAAGAGCTCAAACACACAACAGTGTGCAGATACATGCATGACTACCTTTATACCTAACTAGGCTCCCTTCTGGCAGAGGCAGGTGAATCTCTATGAGTTCAAGGCCACCCTGTTCGACAGAATGAGTTCCAGGACAGCCAAAGTTAAAACAAAACAAAATAAAAACCTAAGACCTAAGAGAATAGTTCTTGTTCTTCTCCCCTTTTCCTCTGCCTCTTATTTCTCCCCTTTGTCTTCTTCCTCATCTTCTCTTTCAGTCCTGGGGATTGAACTCTAAGCCTTGCACACACTAAACAAATACTGGTACCACTGACCTACACTGCCAGTTCCTGGGTAAGACCATCTTTGAAAATTTGCAGGATATGTACACTTCAGACAGTAGAGTATACATCTTCACTTCAGGGGGAAGGGCAACCAATATTATGTAATAAGTCTGTGGCTTTAATTAACCCACCACAATGGTCTTCAGGAAGAAAAAAAATACATAATATTTTGTCAGAGGAAATGCCTGTTTCCTTGGTTTTAATTTGACAGCTATAAACCATCCAAAGCATTATTTTTCATGAATAAGTAACTATTAATACATACTGGGTACCTTGGGTATGTACCACAAAGAACAGGAGAAGAGCCACTGTTCTAGAGAAGCAGATTAGAGGCTAATGGGCTAAAGAAGGCAAACGGCCTACAGGAACTACAGAATGTGTACAGTCTGCCAGCGGTAGCCCCAAGAAACTAGGAGGCACACTATAGCATGGTGTGACACAATACACTTGAGGGGCTAACTCTTGCATACAGTCCAGACAAGCCTTAAACTCAGCATTTGGTCAAGGCTGTCCTTGAGTTCCTGATTCTCTTGCCTCAATCTCCCAAGTGGAGCTGAGCCACCATGCCCAGAAAGTGAACTGTTCTCAACCTAACTGTGGAACTTGCCATAGCATCTCCATGAATCAGCTCAAATTTCTCCTGTTTTACTTGTACACAAGAGGCAATTCCCAAAAGAATTTTATTCTTTATCTCCACAGTTTCAACATATCTCCCCATGCCGTAAATCTTTTGTCTGAATTAAAACCTTAGCTGATGTGATAGCACACACCTATAACAGCAGCACTCTGGAAGCTGAGACCTGATTGGCAAAGGGCCAGCCAAAACTACATGTGAGACCATATCAAAAAATAAAGTAAGCCAGGTGGAACATGCCTTTAATCCCAGTGCATTGGGAGGCAGAAGCAGGTGGATCTCTGTGAGTCCCAGGCCAGCCAGCACTACATAGTAAGACCTAATAGGTTTGGGGGTGTTTTTTAAATAAGACAGCTATCACCATCAACATTAGCTAAGTCTTTAGAAGGCAAGTACTCACATGTTACAGCAATCCTTCAAGACAAACAGCATCAATCCCACCTTTCTGATAAGCAAGCTGACAAGCAGAGAGACCTTTAGGAACTAGCTCCAGCCTCATATAGCTGCTAGTGAAGATAAAGGATTCAAACACCCAAGGACTACTTGACTAGATCACACTGCTTTAGTGATGAATGTAAGTGATATGACCACGTTATTTTTTTATATATATATAGTGCAACAGAACTGAGTCTTTACCAGTAGATATAGCTTTAATAGAAAGGATCTGGAAATCTGTCACACTGTCACGCCACTGCAGTAGATGGACTATAATATGGCTGCTACCAACCTGATCTCCTTTTGTGTACAACACATGCTATGACATGTAAACACTGCAAGTTTTCAATTTTTGTTTTGCGTTTGCCTTGTATATGATACGTGCTCACTCTACCACTGAGCAACATCCCCAGCCCTAAAATACAATGTTTTCAAGCAGAATTCTTTACCTCATTTCTCGTTCTTCATGTTGAGCAATAAGGTTGCTATAAAAATTCTCCAGTGTCACTTTGGTCATTGTCACCCTTTCTTTTGTATGATTACTCATGGATGAGCAAGGTGTTGAGCCTGTCATTGCCATGTCTGCTAGAAGAAAAGAGAGGTATTACCATCCATCTTCCAGTTGGAATCCAACAATGAAGCACACCCCCATCCCCTGGTAGAAACATAAACTGGTATAATCTTTCTGGAGGACAAATGAGTGAAGCTGGTCTGCACCTGGGGTGCATACACACATGCCCACTCTACACACAAACATAATTGGGAAAGGAAGCTGAGCACTCCAAGACAGCATTCACTCACTGTGACCTCCACTGTGATGAGCTGCTTCAACACCTGCTTCCTTTCACAGTGATGGATCCTACCCCAGCACTGTGAGCCAAATGAACCTTTCTCCTTCAACTTGGTTTTGTCAGGGTATTTTAACACAGAAACAGGAAACAAAACTAAGGCACCAGGTATGGTATCATATCCTGTAATTCCAGTATTCAGATGGCACAGTCAAGACACCCTGTCCTAAGTTATTTTTCTATTGCTCTGATATAGACCACGAACCAAAGCAACCTGGAGAATAAAGAGTTTATGCTTAGTAGCCCAGGTCACAGTCCACTGACTGAAGCTACAGCAAGAACTCAAGGCAGGAACTTGCAGGCAAGACCTGAAGCAGAAAGTATGGATAAATGCTGCTTCCTGGCTTGCTCTCTATGGTGCACTTACCTGCTTTCTTTCTTTCTTTCTTTTTTTTTTTTTTTTTTTTTTTTTTTGTTTTTTTTTTTTGAGACAGGGTTTCTTTGTGTAGCTTTAGAATCTGTCCTGGAACTCTCTCACCTCGAACTCACAGAGATCTGCCTGCCTCTGCCTCCTGAGTGCTGGGATTACAGGCTTGTGCCACCAAAGCACAAGGCAAAACTTTTTGGTTTTTTTTGTTTGTTTGTTTGTTTGTTTTCAAGACAGGTTTCTCTGTGTACCTCTGATTGTCCTGGAATAGGCTGGCCTTGAGCTCAGAGATCTACCTGCTTCTGTGTCTTCAGTGTTGGGAATTAAAGGTGTGTCCCAGCCACTACTACCTGCCAATGAAAACTAAAAATATCATAAATAAATATACAATAGAACTAAATGAAAGTATGAAAAACCCCTGGCTGGATGGTGGTGGTACATACCTTTAATCCCAGCACTTAGGAGGCAGAGGCAGGCTGATTTCTGAGTTCAAGGCCAGCTGGTCTACAAAGCAAGTTCCAGGACAGGCTCCAAAGCTACACAGAGAAACCCTCTCTCTCAAAAAAAAAGAAAGAAAAAAAAAAGAATCTCTATGACTAAAATGCTCATCTACAGATAGTTATTTGCTGACTCATCTTAAGGTATCTGATAAATATTTACTGTTTGACTTTTATAAGCTTAAATAACAATTTAAAAAAAAACAAAAAACAAAACAAAACCACTACTACAAAGAAGAAAACTTAGGAAAAAAGCTGTGCCATGGTAGCGAAACCTTTAATCCCAGCACTGGGGAAGCAGAGGCAGGTGGATCTCTGTGAGTTCCAGGACAGCCAAGGCTACACAGAGAAGCCCTGTCTTAAAAAAACCAAACCAAACCTTCAGGTCTAGTTTATAAAATGCCTTTTTCCTGAAATTAACTTATATTATCATACCTGGCCAGATGTTAGACAAACTGAACTGCTCCAGCATGGGTAATAGTGCTCAACAGTTTATCCTTAGCCTTCTTTCTTGAATGTATAACTATTTACTTCCTTCCTCCACCTCCCTCTCTCATCTGCATTTCTTTGATAGGGCATGGCAATGTAGCCAAAGCTGGCCTGGAACTCACTCTCCTTCACCACACAAATGCTGGGACTACAAGTGTGCACCACCATGCCTAGTGATCTCATTCTGTCCTTGATTGTACAGAAAGGAGAACAAAACTCAGGAGTAATATTAAGCCATTTTTTTTTCTTTTTTTCTATTTAATTTATTATTTTACATGTCGATCCCAGTTCCCTCTCCCTCCCTCCCACATTAAGCTATTTTCAAAGAAGGCACATTTTATGAAAAAAACATTTAAATGACATTTAAAGGGCCAGGCAGTGGTGGCACACGCCTCTGATCCTAGTACTCAGGAGACAGAGGCAGATGGATCTCTGTGAGTTCAAGACCAGCCTGATCTACAAGAGCTAGTTCCAGGATGGCCTACAAAGTCACAGAGAAACCCTGTCTTGAAAAACAAAACAAGAAAAACATTTAAAGGTCCTCCCTTGATCCTTCCCAGCTCTCCAAACTGTTTTGTGGATTAAATGAAGGCTTGTAGAGAATGTAAAAACACTTGTTACTAAGAGGGGGAAAAAGGGTTAATTTAACATCAGTAGCTGTTTGTGTTTGTTTTGTCTTTGAGACAGTCTCTCACTATGCAGCTCTGGCTGGCCTGGATAAGTCTACATGGTTGGCTGGCCTAATAAGTGATCCACCTGCCTCTGTCTTCTGAATGCTGGGCTAATGGCAGTAGCTTGTTTCATTTTTTTTGTTTGCTTTTTGTTTTTTGTTTCAGGCAAAAGCTACATAAACAATAATGCATTCATAACAGAGATTTAAAATCAAGGTACTATATCAGTGCCAAACATTTTGATTCATGACAGCAAAAGTATTCACAAATCCACAAAACTGAATTACTAAAACCTACTTCCAGAAAAATATCACTTAAAAAAAAAGGGAAGTAACTACCAATACCTAAGCATTCTATTATTAGAATAGAGGATTAACACCAAGAACTCTGAGCCAGATGTTGGTGTTACATGCCTTGAACCCCAGCAATTGGGAGGCAGAGGCAGTAGATCTCTATGAGCTTGAGGAAAACATGGTCTACAGAGTGAGCTATGGAACAGCTATGGCTACACAGAGAAAACCTGTCTCAAAGGGAGAAGAAAAAACCCTCTGGTTTATGAACCTTGGGTGTGGTTTTTTATTTCTCAGCTTGTACACCCTCCACCCACAATGAAAACCACATGCATTCAAAGTATGTTTGGAGAGAATACTTAAAATCAGATATTTAAAAAAAAAAAAAAACCAACAGAGTAGTAAAAATGGCATCAGGTAAAAGTGTTTGCCACCAAGCATGAAATGAAGATATGTGTTGAATGCCTAGGACCCACATGGTAGTCAGAAAGAACCAATTCCCACAAGATGTCCTCTGATTTCCACACACTTGCCACAGGAAGCCACCTCAAGCCTCTCTCTATCCACCCCACACCAAGCACACACAAAATAAATAAAATTTAAAAATAAGGTGAGAGTTCTCCAAAACTTTCTGGAGAGTCTACATAGACACAGTTTCTCAGTTTTTCTCTCTTCTCTCTCTCTCTCTCTCTGTGTATGTGCATACAGGAAGTAGGAGACAATTTCACTTAGTAAACCAGGCTGGCCTTGAACTCATGACAATCCTCCTGCTTCCATTTCTCAAGTGCTAGGATTCCAAGCATGAACCACCACAACCAGGTCTACAGGCAGTTACTTTTTTTTTTTTTTTTTTTTTTTTTTTTCACTTTTTCCAGCTGGGTTTCTCAGTTAGCTCTGGCTGTACTGGAATTTGCTATGTAGAGAAGGCTGGCCTCAAATTCACAAAAGATCTACCTGCCTCTGCCTCCCAATACTGGAATTAAAAGCATGGGCATCACTACCTCTGGGCCCTCATGCAGTTACATGTTAACAACTAAAACACAGCTCAGTGTTAGAATATAAGACAGACATGGAGGCAGACAATACCTTCCATACAATGAGTAATTAATAAGTCTAAGTTGAGCAAGCTAATGATTTTTAGTTGTCAACACAGCTGTAGGAAAGGAGAGAACATTTACAGATTGGTATATAAAGAACTGGGCAACAGGCCATAAATTCACCAGTGACAGAACTGGCACTCACCTTTAGTCCCAGCACTTGGGAGGAGGCAGAGGCAGATGGATCTCTGAGTTTGATGGCAGCCTGGTCTACTGAGTGAGCTCCAGAACAGTGAGGGCCACACAGAGAAACCCTGTTTTAAAAACTCAAAAACAAACAAAACAAAAAACCAACAAATAAATGAATAAAAATAAAATGCCTCAGAGGAAGCTGAGTATAATGGCACAAGCCCTTAATCCCAAGGCAGGTGGGCAGATTTCTGTGAGTTTGAGGCCAGTCTGGTCTACAGAGTGAGTTCCATGACAGCAGAGCTACATAGTGAGATCCTCTCCAAAAAAAAAAAAAAAAAGACAAATAAGGTTAGGCCAAAAAATCTACACTATACTGCCCCTTTGAGCTTACTATGTAGACCAGGGTGGCCTGCTCCTGCCTCCCCAGTGGAGGTGTATGCACACCCACACCCTGCCCTTTTGACCTTTGTTCAAACCATTCTCTCTCCCTCCATTCAAAAGGTGTAGCCTAATTCTAATAACCTTTAATCAAGAGATATGATTAATATTGCCCAGTAACACTTCAAGGGTTTACTGGGTCAGCCAATAACAAGGCAGGGCTTCCCCTCCTGCTTTCTATAATTCTAACTTCCTGCCCTGACCCGAAAGTCACTGCAGTCCCTATCCTATTCACTACTTTCTCCTTCAACTCTACAAAGTTAGGGAATGGCGGGCAAGGAAGCCTGACAAGGTTATTGTTTTTTAATTAAAGTATACACTCCCCATAAAACTCAGTGCTCAGGGCTGTGAATTCAATGAGGTCAAATGACAACCACTGTTTTAGGAATATGCCTGTCTGGTTGACTTTACAAATAGCATCTCACACACATTTTATTTCTACGTGATCGGAAGATCTATCTTTCACTGAACAATTCCAGCAGGGGCCAAGGCTAGCCCTTAACAGTCATAAAGGGAACCTCTCCTGAATTATGGAATAGCAAACACCAGGTACAGTATCTCCCTCAAACTGTGCTGTGCACACAGAACCTTCAAACGTTTGCTGGGGAAGCAGAGTGTGGTGTCGAGAAAGCCTTTAATCCCAACACTGGGGGAGCAAAGGCAGGTGGATCTCCATGAAGTGGAGGCCGCCTTACTCTACATAGCAAATTCCAGGCCAACAAAAACGTTCCATTTGCGGCGTCCACTCCTGCG